AAGTCTAGAATAATCTCATTTCTGAAAAAGTTTGCCAGTTCTTGCTCAGTAGCCAACTTGTGCTCCAGGCTGAGCCTGGAATACCTTTAGATATTCTCTTGCCCCAGGCTCTTGGCAGTTGATGGTTCCTTCCATATGGGATCATTTATTGAAAGTTCTTATTCATTCTCTAGAGAATCTTTACTTTTCAGGAAAAAAAGGTTATTTATTTTATTTTTTTTTTTGTCGGTCGTGGGGCTTGAACTCTGGGCCTGGGCACTGTCCCTTAGCTCTTCAGCTCAAAGTGAGCGCTCTACCACTTGAGCTACAGTGCCACTTCCGGTTTTTTTTCTGGTAGTTTATTGGAGATAGGATTCTCACGCTCTCTCCTGCCCGGGCTGGCTTTGAACCGCTATCCTCAGATCTCAGCCTCCTGAGTAGCTAGGATTACAGGCGTGAGCCACCAGCGCCCGGCAAGGTTATTTTTTTAAAACAGCATTTCCTGACTCACTTGCTTGGGGTAAGTAACCCACAAGTCAACTCATTTTGTGTGCTCATAGAATTGTTTTGAGAGGATAAGGTGTTAACATCACCTCTTGACTGGATTACTATAGTAGCTTCCTGTCTGATTTCCCTAATTCTGTGATTGCACACCTCTAGTCAGTTTCTGAATAGTAGCCTTGGTGATTATAAACATAAATTAGATCCTGTTACTTTTTTGTTTACCCTCTCCATGTAGTAAAAGCCAAGATCTTGAAGTTGTATTTAAGGTATCATTACTATTGTTTTCTCCTATGCTCAGTATATGGCCACAGTGGCAACACCAGGTATAATCTCAGGCACACTTTCATTCCAGGTTCCTGGCACTTTTCTTCAGATACCTGTCTTCTTCACTTCCTTCACATTTAAAGTAGACGCTTTCCTATCTTACCTCACGCGTTAATTTTATCCTTCTATCATTAGTTTTCTCTATAGCACTTAGCCACTATCCACTATACCATATGCTTTTTAAAACTTATCTTGTTTGTCATCCTTCCTAAAAGCATCACAAAGATATACAGCTATAAGTGCTTGTTTGCTACCAAATTCCTATGTCATTGAACTATGTTTGGTAACGTAGTAAGTTCTTAGTATGTATTGAATGAATAAATGATTGAAGAAATTTTTTTTTGTGCCAGTCCTGGGGCTTGAGCTCAGGGCCTGGGCACTATCTCTGATCTTTTGTGCTCAAGGTTAGCTTTCTACCACTTGAACCACAGCCCCACTTCCAGGATTTTCTGAATTTATTGGAGATAAGAGTTTCACAGACTTTTCTGCCCAGATTGGCTTTGAACTTTAATCCTCAGATCTCAGCCTCCTGAGTAGTTATGAGTATAGGTGTGAGTCACCAATACCTGGCCTGAAGAAAAGCTTTTTTTTGAAGGCATGTCAGTCCAGATGAAAAAAGTGGGAAAATATAAGATAAATACCAAATTCCAAGTTTTTGGATATAGAGGGAAATAAAAGTCTCCCTTAGGAGAGCTTTTAATTTATTGACTTAATGTATAGAGAATATGCTGAGATAGGGCCAGATAATTGGGTTGTGGCCAAATAATGAAAGGCTTTGTTAGTGTTTTCCAATGTGATTTCAAGTATAATGAGAATACATGAAAGATTTTTCAGTACTTAATTTTTTTTTGGGTCCCATAGTGGGGCCTGAACTCTGGGCCTGGGTGCTGTCCCTCAGCTCTTCAGCTCAAGGCTAGCACTCTACCACTTGAGCCACAGCGCCACTTCTGGCTTTTTTCTTTATGCTTATGTGGTGCTGAGGAATCGAACCCAGGGCCTCAGGCATGCAAGGCAAGCGCTCTACCACTGAGCTACCTTCCCAGCCCTTGAAGTTTACTTTCTATGTACAAGGATGCGCTCCTGCATTATATAACTGTTCTATAATTCATAATTAAGAAATTGGCATATTCGCATTTGAGCCATCAACTTTGGAAGTAGTGCTGTGGCTAGAGTGGTAGAGTGCTAGTCTTGAGCAAAACAAGCTGAGCATAAGGCCCAGGACTGCAAAAAAGAAAAAAAAAGAAACAGCATTATATAGTGAATCTAAGGCTATTTGACTTTAAACTCTTTATTTCTGACTGAGTTAGAGTAAAAACAGTTGTTTAAAAGTGGTGGGCTCTGAAGGCTCATGCCTGTAACCCTAGGTACTCAGCGGTGAGATCTGAAGATCATGATTTGAAACCATCCAAGGCAGGAAAGTCTGTGAGACTGTTATCTCCAATAAACTCAGAAAAAGCTGGAAGTGGTGGTGTGGCTCAAGAGGTAGAGTGCTAGCCTGAGCAAAAGAAGCTCAGGGACAGTGCCCAGGCCCAGAATTTGAGCCCCAGTACCCGCAAAACAACAACACCCCACAAAACAAAAACCTGAATTTGTAAATTCAAAATTTGCTGATTTTTTCCAGTAATGTTATATACAAATTCAGGACCTAATCTGGGATTATGCATTGTATTTAATTATATTTCTTTAGTATCCCCCAGTCTGTAAATAGTCCCTCAGTTTTATTTTTCATGACGTTTCTTGTTGCTGAGATCATTCCCACGTAGTCTTGCACATGCTAGGCAAGTACTCTACTATCCAGCTATATTCTCAGCTGCATGCCCTTGATATTCTTGAATAATACCAAGTTTGTTAGTTGTTACTTTGTAGCCTGTCTCTCAATAAGGTTTTGTCTTACATGTGGAGGTGTACCAGTGAATTCTTGCTCTGTTATTTTTGTGGTGTGTATCAGAAAAAGCATAATGATATGTGTCCTAGTAGTAATATTTTTAGCACTTGGTTCATATATATATATATATATATACATCTCTTTATATAAATAAATCAATATGTATATATAGATCTATCTATCTATCTATATTTATATATCTATATTATTGGGATTTATTTATTTTTATTATTGGGATTTAAACATTTTTTTTTCCTGCTCAGCTCTTTTTGTGCTGCTTATTTTTGAGATAGGGTATCTCAGGTGTATGTTGGGACCACAAACATATTTTAGGCTTTCCCTCAAAGCTGGGATGATAGGCATGTACCACCACACTCAGCTTCTTTCTTTTGAGACGGAGTCTCACTGACTTTCCTCCCTGGGCTGTTTTATAACCGTACCTCCCAGTCCCAGCCTCACATGTATCTTGGGATGACGTATGCGTGCTACTACATCTAGCTGTAGGTTGAAAAGGGGTCTCATGATCATTTTTCCTGGGCTGGCCTCAAATGGTTATTTCCCCATTGTCAGCTTTCCAAGAAGCTAGGAGTGTAGATGTGCCTGGTTTGCTATGTTTCTTGATGTTAAAACTAATGAGAATGTAGTGCTTATTAATAAATATTTTGTATGGAGATGCTTTGAGGCTCATTTCTCATAAAATTTTCATTATTTTTAGTATCCATTGACTAATCTTATCAGAACTAGTTACTATTCTACTATGAAAGATACCAAATGGTGCTCATTTCTAATTCCATTATGTCTTTTTGGTGTTGCACAATAGGATTCAGAGTACAGTACTTACGTTTTGCAATGGATTCTAACTTGTCATACTTGACAATTGGGAATCCCTTTATGGTAGGCCATCTGTCTGCCTGCTTGACTGCCTATTAGCTAGTTTTGGGCCTGGGCACTGACCCTGAGTTTCTTTTGCTCAAGGGACCATTTTACCACTTGAGCCACAGCGCCACTACCAGCTTTTTTGAGTAGTTTATTGGAGATAAGAATCGCATGGACTTCCCTGCCCAGGCTGGCTTCGAACTGTGATCCTCAGACATTAGCCTCCTGAGTAGCTAAGATTACAGGTGTGAGCCACCTGTTCCAGCTCTATTTTTTTAAAAAATGTGTCATCATTTTTTGTCTTGTTTTGAATTTTCTCAGTAGTCGTCTCATTTCTGTGGTGTGTGTGTGGGGGTGCTGGCTCCTTTTAATGAGGACATTATTTATGTGACTGTGAGGTGTAATTGCTTCTATATCCTCCAGTATATGTAATTAGGAAAATATACACATTTTGGTTCTCTCTATAGTATTAAAAAATAAGTTCACATTGAAACCCCCTGGTCTCAAAACATTTGTTTTAGTCTTACCCTTTCCCTATTTACCATTCTTTTTTCTCTGACAGTGAGAAACCTCATTTCCATTATTTTCAGTGTGTTTACTTAATTGCTTAGTTCTTGCAGTTTGCAGCCAAAAGCTTGGTTTCGGACATGGTGTTTGACTCACCCCACTCCTTTACCACATGATAACTTGCTTCTTGAAATAATCATTGGAAAGGTAATCTTGATGACAGTGAGGAAAGGGTAGAAGGGAATAAATGAAGGAGGAAACATTTAAGAACAGTTGGAAAGCTTGGCCTGCTCACCTTCCCTTTTTCTTAATAGGAAAGGGAAGTTGGTAATAGAGGTTGGAAAAAGATTTATTGGTTATTTTTTATTACTGTGTGGACCTAGTTTGGAAAGAATGAGAAAGGAAACAGGCAGATTGACTAGAAAACCTTGGATTAGTCAGTTGGAGATGATTTGTGTGAGTATTGTTGAGTTTTTTTGGCAGTGGGGGCTATCCCTACAGAAGTGGATGTACCTAGAGTACATTTGAAAATGTTAATCTGTTTTAATTAACAATTTACCAAAGATACGAATTTGTCCAATGCATATAAACATTTATCATAATAAAGTATTTTCAAAACACATTCTTTTGAGCTACATACTTACTTTGATTTATTTTGGTAATGTTTTTCTATATTGGTGGGAGAGTCTCTTGTAAATTCCTTTTCATTGCATATACTCTAATTCCTGGCTGACACATCGAAGATTGCATTTCATTGACTTTCAAACAGGTGATTGAATAGGATTTGTTACTCCAAGTTAGCATGAATAGTTTTACACTTGAACCATTCTGTTTTCAAGGTAGCATGAATAGTTTGTTATACTTGAACCATTCTGTTTTCATAAATGCATATTTAGCTAATTACTCTTTTCACTCTACTTTTTAGATATTATGATCAAATTTGTTCCATTGAACCTAAGTTCCCATTTTCTGAAAACCAGGTAAGTTATTGATTTTGTATGGTAATAATAAATTGTCCATTCTTTCCACCTATAGTATCATTTTATTGAAATCAGTTACATCTCTTTTCCTTCTGTAGGTTTATGAGATAGTTTTATATAAATTAGAAACTTAGGTTTATCTTGTGAAGAGTCCTAGAGTCACTTTCCTGTAGAGCATTATACTGATATTTTATATCAATAGGATCTATTTATTTTTTGACTAATGTAATTTTTTTTGGGGGGGGGGTCAGCCGTGGGGCATGAACTCTGGGCTTGGGCACTATCCCTCAGCTCTTCAGCTCAAGGCGAGCGCTCTACCACTTGAGCCACAGCATCACTTCCGGTTTTCTAGTGGTTTATTGGAGATAAGAGTCTCATGGTCTTTCCTGCCCGGGCTGGCTTTGAACCATGATCCTCCAGAATAGCTAGGATTACAGGCGTGAGCTACCGCCGCCTGTTGATTAATGTAATTGATGGTATCTTTCCCTTAGTTTTTACAGAATTAAGAAATTGTATAGTTGAGGAAGTATCAACCTCAGGTTAATGCCTTAAAAATTATTGATACAGTGCACACCATGTAAAAAATGAACTCTGTGCTTAGGGAGGGCAGGGGGAAAGAGGGACATTGTATGATCTCTCCATTTAGTGAAAAAAAATGATGCTCTAAAAGCAAGGTGAAGATTATAGTTAATGCTTGTAAGCCAAAAAGGACATGCAGTATGATTCACTGAAGTGAAAATTTGAGATTGGTTGAGAAGTGAGATGTCTTTAGCAGAAGTTGGATGATGTTATGAGAAAAATGAAACAAGCATCTGCAGTGCAGGAGAGTGCTGATATCTATGTACTGGGGACATGTGTATTTTCTTCCATGGCAGTCTCATAGAGATACTGAAGGTCTGTTGTTCTTTAATCATTCTTGTACCAATGGGATTATTATTATTTACTTAATAGGCAAGGAAGAAAATGTTTGTGGATGGGTAGTTGGAGGTGGTGGGAGGAGAAGTTGAGGAATAGATGAACAAAGAAAGGCAAAAGGTTAAAGCTGCTAATGGGTTTAGAGGACTTGATTTTTTTTTCTTCGAGTTTTGTGGAATTTTTCCAATTCAGAGTTTACAGTATTTTTTACTGGCTATGAATGTAGCTAAGTGATAGAGTAATTGCATGGCATGTATGAAGTCAAGAGTTCCACATTCAGAGAAGAAAAAAAAAAATCTTTGTACTCCTTATAAATAGTCTAAATGGATCTAAATTTGGTTGAACCTTTACATATAGTATTCTTATATGAAACCAGGGGAAATGTAGTTTTTTGTTAAGTAAGATTTTTTTCATATATAACATAGTATAGAAAGTGAACAGATCATGTTTATAACTTTTATGGTCACGAAGTAAATATGTTTGTATAACTAACACTCAGATCAATAAATAAAATATCCTGTTTCCCAGAGAGACAGTTGCTACTTTAATAACTTTTGTTTTCAGTTTTATCTCCTAGGAAACTTTGTAATGATTATTTTATTCTTTTTGCTTATTTGGTGTGTTTGCTTTATTGTGATTGTAAAGATGAAGATAATGTTTATGATTATTGATACAATGATATTTTGAAATACCCTGGTAACAGTATTTTACTTTTTAATAAATTATAATCCCAAGGACTGGAAAGGATTTGGTAACAGAAAATATTATTTTATATAGAGTGAGCTTTTGTTCTTACCTTGTTGGAGGACTTTCTTCAAAAAAATAAAATATTTAATGAGATCTAAGAAACAAATAATTTTCTGTTTTTTCTCATTCTATCCAGATCTGCTTGACATTTACCTGGAAGGATGCTTTTGATAAAGGTTCACTTTTTGGAGGATCAGTAAAATTGGGTATGTAATTTTAAATAGAAATAATAAGAAACTTGATCTAACCACTTTCCTTTATTTTTGATTTTAAAATTTGCTGTCCTATCACATGGTAAATTATAACCCCCTTGTACAACTGTTTGAAGTTTAGAAAAAAAATTCATCCAAAAAAGTTGGCCTCCTAATGACTCTGTGTAAATACTAAATTTTTCCTACATATTTTCTTTTTAACTTCAACTTCTAATGTAATTTGAAAATATTTGTAGATTGCCTACACTATGCTGGACTAGTGTGAAGAATAAGTAAGACAGAGCCTACACTATGCTAGTTATAACAATAAGTAAGACAGTTATTATATTCAGTCTGGTTGGGAAACAAGTTGATCATTTTAAATGTAGTATGCACTATGTAATGTGTAACATGTACCACATAATGACATCTTCATCAATGACAGTATGCATACATATTAGTGGTACCATAAGCTTATATCTCAGAATGATGTTGTAGTCTTCTTTGTTATCTTAAGTACACTTTAATACTTCCATAATGATGAAGCCACTGAACAGCTCATTTCTCAAAATGTGTCCTGGATTTTTCAGTGAGGCATGACTAAATCAGTCTGTGAAACACATTTATGGGAACTTAGATGAGGAAGATGTTTAACTCTTATCTGTTGAAAGGAAGCAATATTTGTTAGGTCTTGAAGGATAAATTTGTTTTTTCAGGTGGAAAATGCTATCACACATACTACAACATAGCTCATGCAAGGTATCTTCTTTGTGCCATAATTTCTTCATCTGTGAAGTGAGTCATGGAATTACTGGTTGGAGTAAAAGTGAAAATACGTAAAATCCTTACAGTGTTCATTTACTACTGATTAAAATGAATACTGAATGAAATACATTATTATGTAAAATTATGTATGTATAATATATTTACATATCATGTTTATATATGTACTTCAGGTCATATATACATATTATCTGAGGTATTGTTTACTGTGTATGATATTTAGATATGTGATGCAAATGCACTTAAGTATCCAAATACAAGGTAATCCAAGTATCAGATATATGCTTTTTATATAGGTGAGAAAATGAAAATATAGTAATATAATAGTTATATGGCTTAAAACAGTTTGAGTTGAGGAATTTTGAGGGTGATGATAATGGAAAATAGATTGTGAAGAGTGCAAATATTATATTATTAAAATTGTAATGCTCCTTATTTATATTTAATATTGAGTATTGACTATCCAGGCATTGTGGAACGGGTTTACATATATTGTCTTTACTGAATTTCTTGTTAGTCCAATGAGGAAAGGCACTGTAGTTGCCATATGACTAAACTGGCTGGATCGGAGTAAGTGGCTTTCAAAGATCATAAGACTTGGGTTTAGTGAGAGTGATATGTGAATCCAGAAAGTCTAATTCCAGGGACTCGAGAAACTCAACAGATTAGTTGGGAAGCAAAGGAGAGACAGTGAGGTTAGACAAGGGAGGCTAGACAAGGGAGTATGTATGGTCAGAGGAGATATCATGGGCTTTGGAGACACTTCAGAGGTGAAATGGATGGGCCCTCTATTAGTTAGAAGAAGAGAAGAAGAGAAGTTAAGGGTTGACTTTGCTTTGAAACTTGAATTGACCTGTGTTTTACATAGACAGATCAGTCTTGAGTTTGCTGTGCTACCTCAGGGTAAAAAATTCTCTGGCACTTGGAAATAATAGGTTTAAAGTTCAGAAAAGAGAGTTGTAGACTTGGGAGGAGTTAATTATTAGATGATAATAAATTGAACCCCTCTGGCAGATAATAGAAAATTGTGAAAGTCAGAGCTAGAGAATATAATAGTCAGAGGAAATAATAGGAAGAGTTCTGAAATGAGTTTGAGAAAAGTCTTTTAGATCCTGGAGGAATTAGGAACAGACAGAAATGTGGAAGTGAATATAGAGGAATTTTAAAGGTGATGTAGACTGTCATTTCCCATGCCTGCTGCATATCATAATTACTTGTGGGGGTTCTGGCTCTATAAAGGTGAACACAGAGAGTACCTGATGTGATAGAAGGATACTGTGACAAACTTAAGTTGTAGGGTTGGAGGAAGACATTGAGTTGGACAGTGAGAGAAGTCTTTCTAGAAGCGTGTGGAAAAAGACAAATTGCATGAAATTGAGAGGGTTGACAGGAAGCAAGGAAATGTAAATAGTAAGTGGGTTACTTGTTTCAGAGAATTTTCAGTCTGGATTTTGGTTCCACGGGAGCAATGTTATGCTGAGAGGGAGCCAAGGTGAAAGGACTTTTAGTGCTGTTGTGATTTAAAAAGCAGATTGGTAGGCTGAGAAGAGGAGCAGGTGACAGGAGGTGAAATTCTGGAATGAGAAAGGTTGAGTAATGAACCTAGCTTCTAGAAGAGGTGGTAGGAAGCAAGAAATTTGAGCGTATGAATATAACAGGAGGTGATTCGTCTGGGTATTTTGCTAACAAAAATTGGAAACTAGATGTCTTTTAGTAATATACATTTGTTAGAATATTGTGCAATTTTAGAAGACTAAGTGATAATGCAAGTGTATATTTGTGGATATGTAAAGCTACATCAATTGAATATTGTAATACATATCAAAGTACGAGTGGGTGCATGGCTCAGAACTTGCCTGCAAGTATGAGGCCCAAATTCAGCCTCAAATACCACTCTTGCCCCTCCAAAAAACAAAACTCTAAACCCCAAAGATCAGAGTATTTGTGTTGTACAACGTTTCTGAATTGGGATCCTTGAAACACTCTTAAACGGACTTTGTGTGCAGCTTATTGGAGTTGAGCATCCCAGGCAGCTTGAGTGTAGTGTGAAAAAAGTTACAGATGAAAATACGTGTAGTTATTTGAGAAAGAAATTAATGTGGTTACTCTTAAGAGTAAGGTATTGGGTGATTGTTTTTATTCTAATTCTGTTTATAATCAGATGTTTGAATTAAAAACTTTATAACCAAGTTAGTAATTTTGAAAAGCCCTGGTGAAAAAGAAGAGATAATGTGACAAAACAAAGATAATTGATAAAGAAAAAAAATAAGATTTTAATTGTAAGAACAAAAATTTCTTATGAAGTCAGACATAGAAATTATGAAAATAAAATGACAATAGCTTGAGATAATAATACTTACAAAAATGTATGTAGTTTAATTTGTTGCTTGGAGTATATTTCATTTGTTTTTTGTTGGTCATGGGACTTGAACTCTGGGTCTGTCCCTCAGCTCTTCAGCTCAAGGCTAGCACTCTACCACTAGAGTTATAGCACCACTTCTGGTTTTCTGGTGGTTAATTGGAGGTAAGAGTCTCATGGACTTTCCTTGAACCACAGTCCTCAGCTCTCAGCCTCCTGAGTAGCTAGGGTTATAGGTGTGAGCCACTGGTGCCTGCTATATTTCATTTTTAACTTTTCCTTTTTTATAGTGTTAGATAAAAATCCAGGGCCAAGCCGCTGTGTGTGTGTGTGTGTGTGTGTGTGTGTGTGATTTATTGCTAACCTTTTTAGTTGGATCATTTCATCTCTTTTCAACCATGGGAATTTTTTAACTTTTCCTTTTTTATAGTGTTAGATAAAAATCCAGGGCCAAGCCGCTGTGTGTGTGTGTGTGTGTGTGTGTGTGTGTGTGTGTGTGTGTGTGTGTGTGTGTGTGTGTGTGTGTGTGTGTGTGTGTGTGTGTGTGTGTGTGTGTGTGTGTGTGTGTGTGTGTGTGTGTGTGTGTGTGTGTGTGTGTGATTTATTGCTAACCTTTTTAGTTGGATCATTTCATCTCTTTTCAACCATGGGAATTTTTCTTATCTTTCTTGTCCCTTCAATCCCTCTCTTTATACTTTTTCTTTCCAAGTAATTGAGAGCTATTGTAGATTCTTTTTTATATGTTGGTTGTTAAGAAATAGGAGTGCATAAGTTTTAATTTCTTTAACATTACATTCTTTGTAGGAGAATGTCTAGATGATACTTTCTTTTTCTTTTCTTTTTTTTTTTTTTTTTGGGTCCGGTCGTGGGGCCTGAACTCTGGGCCTGGGCGCTGTCCCTCAGCTCTTCAGCTCAAGGCTAGTACTCTACCACTTGAGCCACAGCACCAATTCCGGCTTTTTTCTTTTTGCTTATGTGGTGCTGAGGAATCTAACCCAGGGCCTCATGCATGCAAGGCAAGCGCTCTACCACTGAGCCACCTTCCTAGCCCTAGATAATACTTTCTAACACTTCTTTTGAAATAGTGTTAGTAACTAAAATTTTAATTTTTGGTAGCTTTTCTTTTTCACCAACTTAAAGATACTACATCCTGTTTGTCTTGTGATTTCACCATCTTTAAATCTCTTGAAGAGTACTAATTATCTTTGACTTACTGGAATTGGCTTTGCTTACTTTGGCTGTTTTTCAGTTACCTTGATCTTTTTTTTAAGGGCATTATTATTCTCCTCATGTCATATTTTACTTAAGAAAGTATGAATTTACTTAAGAAAGCAGGTAAGAGTAATATATATATGTATATATGTCTCTCTCTCTCTCTCTATATATATATAATATATATATATATTTATGTCTATTGAACTACAGAGTCAGGATGCTAGTAGTGAATTGCTATTATTAAAAGGGAGGGTACCAAGATGCTGTAGCAAGAGGGGCTATAATGTATAGCACTACTCTGAGACTTAGATATAAAACTGTGTTGTTCTGGTTCTTTTTGATGATTTACCCTATGTTTTTTGTAAGAAGTCTTCTGATTATTTTGCTTTGTGGCCATTTGTCTGGTGTGCAATGGAAAGTCATAATAATGTGATTGAATTATCCATTAGATTCTTTTTCTTTACACTTATTTTTAATTGTGATAAAATGCACAAAATACCTTTTTAATAATTTTAAATGTACAGATCAGCGATTTTAAGCATATTCACATTATTTTGTAACTATAACCACTGTCTGTTTCTACAGCTCTTTCATTTACAAAATTGAAATTCTATACTCAACATTAACTACCCATTCTTTTTGTCAGTCTCTGGAACCACCGGTATTCCTCTTGTCTCTGAATTTAATTATTCTGATTTAATTTATGAATAATTATTCTAATATAATTATTACATTGTAAAAACACAACACAAAATCTGCCATTTTAACTATTTTTAACTGTACAGTTTAGTAATGTTACTGCATTCATTGTTGTAAAAGAAGCCTTTACAATTGTTTTTCTTGCAAATATGAAATGCTATATTCATCAAATGATAGCCACCACTTCCCTGGATATCACTATCTAACTCCTTTTTCTATGATTTCAACTACACTATAAATAACTCATATAAATGGAATCATATAGTATTTATCTTTCAGTAACTGGTTTATTTCCCTTAGCAGAATGTCTGTGTTGTAGTGTGTGATTTCCATTCTTCTTCCCTCCCTCCTGTATAGAGGAGTTATAGTTACATAGGTCAGGAAATGAGTACATTTCTTTTTGAACAGTGTCACCTTTGCCCTCATTTTTTCCCAGTTCTTTCCCTCGTGATTTCCTTTCTTTTTAGGGTTGAGTAATACTTGATTATATGTATATACAGTATTTTGTTCATTCATCAGTGGGTAGATAGACACTTGCTTTGCTTTTGTGTTTTGGCTATGGTGAATAATGCTGCTTTGAACCCTAGTTCAAACCTGAGAGACTGCTTTTAGTAATTCTTTTCTTGATTTTATGGTAATTCGGCTTTTAATCTTTGTGGATTCCCATATTGCATTCCATAGCACTTTACATTCCTGCCAACACTGTACAACAGTTCCAGTGTCTTTACATCTTTATCAACTCTTCTTATTTTCTTGTTTTTTTTTAAATAGCTATGCTAATATATGTGAGATATATTACAGATTCTTGGACAGAGTTGCATTTTTGCCACATTACTCTGCTATAGGCTTCTGAGAAATTAGTTGGCATTAGGGACTGAGGCATGAAAAGCCAGCTAGGAGAGGTGCTTGCATTAACTCAGGTTTGTAATAAAGAGAAACTAATTTAAGAGTGGAAGGAAGATATACCTTTGAGAGGTAATGGAAAGATGAAAAGAATTTATTTGAATTTAAGAGATAAAGAAAAAAATGACATAAGAATGATTTTCATATTTTGAATCTGACTATAATAATAAAAACATAGAAGTAAAAGTGAGAAAGGATAACTTAGTGATCTGTTCAGCTTTTGATGATGGGGCCATTATGGAACTAAGTACTTGTCAGGGCACCCTGAAATAGATGTGAAGTAGGTCTGGAAACTTTTCTGTGAGAGCCAGTGGGACAGAGGTCATACTATTTTTTTTAAAATAAGCTTTTTATTGTGAAAATACTGTACAGAGGGGTTACAATTACATGAGCAAAGTAATGAATATATTTCTTATCAAGCATTGTTGCCTCCTACTTTGTTTTTCCCATCCCTTCCCTCCTATCTCCACAACTACACTCTCCTCTTCCCCCTCCCCCAAGTCATACTATTTCTCTTTGGAACATTCGTTTTCTTTGGAAAATTTTGATATTTCCTTCTCAATTTTATTTTACAGCTCTTGCAAGCTTAGGATATGAAAAGAGCTGTGTCTTATTCAATTGTGCAGCCTTAGCTAGCCAGATTGCAGCAGAACAGAACCTGGATAATGATGAAGGATTAAAAATCGCTGCTAAGCATTACCAGGTATGTAGAAAACTGGTAATCAGGTATGTAGTAAACTGGTCACCACATAATGATCACCCAGTGCTGGATTGAGTTGAAAATAACCTGCATTTTTCTTTACCTACCAAGTATTTGTTTTGAAAAGCAATTCACTTTTAAAATGAATTTTTTCTTTTTTTTTTTTTGGGTCCGGTTGTGGGGCCTGAACTCTGGGCCTGGGCGCTGTCCCTCAGCTCTTCAGCTCAAGGCTAGTGCTCTACCACTTGAGCCACAGCGCCACTTCCGGCTTTTTTCTTTTTGCTTATGTGGTGCTGAGCAATCGAACCCAGGGCCTCGAGCATGCAAGGCAAGCTCTCTACCACTGAGCCACCTTCCCAGCCCAAAATGAATTTTTTCTTGGACTATCTATATAAGCATTATATGCCTGACTTATAATTGAGGCTTAGTAAATATTGATTGATCAGAAAAGTCATTCACTTGCATTTATGATAAATGTAAGTAAATGACTTTACTTGTAACATTTATACCTTATTATTTTGAGTGTATCAATATGAGGCTTGAACTCAGGGCCTCCTGAGTAGAATTGCAGCCATGAGCCTGGCTATACATTTTTATATGTTTTCTTAGAGTGACATACACTTACGATTTGACAAGTGTTATATAAAAATTAAGAACTTTTGGTAGGAAAATAAAAGTTTAACTCAGACCTGTAGTAGAGTGGTTGTGTTTAAATATGATCAGATGTACAGTTCATAAGATGACTAAATCTATATTTTAGCTACTAATCAATGACTAATATGACATGTTACTTATTGAGGTTTTTTGGTTTCTGAAAAATAAGTGACTTGTTAATAACATGATCTTGTTTTTGTATTTTATGTTACTTTGCAATTTACAATGTGTTTTTGCGTATGCTATTAGATCTTTTTTTTTTTTTTTGGTCTGAGACTGGGATTTGAACTTGATATCTGATATTTTCATTCATTGGCTGGCATTCTATCACTTAAACCATGTCTCTAACCTCATGTTATTTGATTCTTATTTAAACCCTGTGATGCATATATGTTATATATATGCATATGTATCTCTGTCTGTCTGTCTGTCTGTCTATAATGTCTCTCAGTGAGGAGACTGAGCACAGTATTAATAAAGCAGTTCATTTGAGGTAAAGTTGTCCTTACTTTGAGTTTCATGGTATTTCTGTTGGTTTTTCCATTGCTTTTCTGTGGAATTTACTTGTTTCAAATGTGCCTTGTATCTTGACTTTCCTCATTGTTTAAGTTCAGAGGAAAAGTGAGGAATGCTATTTTGGGAAACTGAAAAGAAAATACATGGGGATGGGATGTAGCTCAGTGGCAAAGCGCTTGCCTAGCAAGTGCAACGTCCTGGGTTCGATCCCCAGTACCAAAAAAGAAAAGACAAAAAAAAATACAGTTAAAAAAAAAAAAGAAAACACATGGTAAATGGTAAGCAAAGCATAGGTATCAACTTGTGGCTTGTTGAACTGTTTTGGTGGTCATAGTGACACATAATGCACATACTATTCTTTGAACCTGTAAATGACAAATATTTCAAAATACTTAAGCACAATAAAACTTTAGCTTTCTGTTAACGGTTAAATATCTGTTAAAATTTTGTTTAGCTTTCTCTTAACTGTAACTCAGTTAATTGACATGTAAGATTATAGAGTTCATATTGTGTTGTGAGTATTCACAGCAGGCCACATGGTCTTAGACCTCACTCCTGGTCTGGGTTGCTGGCCACTCAGAAGCCATTATAGTCTTTGACCTCTCTGGATACCAGGTTCCTCATATGAGTGAGAGAGCCTTGATTCTTTGCTTGTTTGATTAATCCTTTCAGATACTCTAGTTTTATGACTACTTTATGACTGTATACAAGGTATTACTTTCTTTAGTATGGCTAGCTATGTACCCTGAATAACTAGCTACGTTAAATTTCCCCTTTTTCTCAGTGTAATTTGCTTCACCTGTTATTAGGGAGTCTTGAAGACCAAATTGAGACAAGTAGCAATGCTTTTCCTCAGAGGACAAAGTGTCAGAGATGAGATTCCCCTGAGCTTGTTTGACATACAGGTTTGAGATCAAAACAAGAGCATTTCAGTACTAAAAACATTTAATAATTTTTTTCCTTCATTTATCCTTAGGTCAGATTTGAAGAGGTGTATCTAACACTTGTGATCATTTTATTTTGTTTTTCCTTTTTATTAGGTTTTGTATTAGAGTTTTGAAAGATACTGTGTAAAGTGAGATAAAAGTTTTTGTGTAACAATTATTCACTCAGTTAACATTTGATTTTTGTGTGTAACCATAGTAAACTAAATCTTTCAGAATTCCTATACATTTTAAAGGTTTTTTTTCCTTCCTCTCTAGTTTGCTAGTGGTGCCTTTTTACATATTAAAGAGACGGTTTTATCTGCCTTAAATCGAGAACCTACTGTGGACATATCTCCAGACACTGTTGGGACCCTCAGTCTTATTATGCTGGCACAGGCACAAGAAGTTTTTTTTTTAAAAGCCACAAGAGGTAACTCCAATTTTTCCTCCACTTTATTGCCTATGAGAAGAAGTGATAAGCTCTTAAACTAAGAAAGTATTTGAAATATGATTAAAAATGATTTTTTATTAAGACTTTTTGAACTTGATACATGGATTGTTGAAAAGTTTTAACTCCTATTTTTTTTAAACTTGTACTCTAAGTATAGGCTGTGTTTGAAAGTTTGTAGAGTGGATAGATATTGTCTTTAAATACTGAATTATGGAATAATAATGATGTGTGTTTATAATTCAAAATGTTATTTAGCAAATATTTACTGGCTATCTGTTCTGTGCCAGGCATTGTTCTAATGTCTAGATAAACAGAATTAGCAAACAAATAAGACCTCAATCTTTTTAGTAGGAGGTAGATGATAAGGAAGAAATTTATTCAAGGTCATTTCAGAGAACAAAATGGCTCTGGATTATGTGTAGTGGTTGGTGGTCTGGCTGTGGAATAGTGGTGACTAGTGGTCATGCTAATTAGGTTCATTAGTTGAGAAGTTTTTTAAAAAATCTTTATTAAAAAGGTGTTGAGTAGGGGGTAGTCAAGAGTTTCTAGAGGCAGATTTTATTTATTTATTTATTTATTTATTGGGTCCGGTTGTAGGGCCTGAACTCTGGGCCTGGGTGCTGTCCCTCAGCTCTTCAGCGCAAGACTAGCACTCTACCACTTGAGCCACAGCGCCACTCCTGTTTTTTTTTCTTTTTTGCTTATGTGGTTCTGAGGAATTGAACCCATGGCCTCATGCATGCAAGGCAAGCGCTCTACCATTGAGCCATCTTCCCAGCCCAAGGCAGGTTATATTTAAACTAGACTTAAATGACAAGAAGGAACCATCTAGGCAAAGTCCTTGGTGTATAAGGGAGTAAGAACATTTCTTCTAAGGCGTAGAAGTTAGTGTGAGGGAATGGAATATAGATATGTAAATGCAGTGAAATTGAAAATTAGAGAGCAGAACTAACATAAGTTTTTCTTTTATAAAGGATTATACTAGATGTGGTGGCTGAAGTCTGTAATCCCAGCTACTCAGAAGGCAGAGATAGGATTACAGTTAGAGTCAAAAAGTTGGTGAGATACCTTGTCTCAAAAAAACCAGAACTGGTCATGGTGGTGTCTGCTTGTCATTCCTGCTATGGAATAACCAGGAGGATTGTGACCTAACCTGTCATGGCAAAAAGACAGGAAAGAGCTAGGGGCATAGCTTATGTGGTAGAATGCCTGCCTACCAACTGTTAGGCCCTGAAGTCAAGCCATAGTGCTACTAAAAAGTAAACAAAACTAAAAGCAAACACCAGAAAAAGCAAAATGAAAAACTCAGCCAACCAACCAACTAAAGAAACAGCTTATATTGAGGTGGACTTCATAAACACCAAAATTCTAAACTTTATAAGTCAGTGTTGTTTAGTGTATTCAGAATTTTGCAACCATTGTCATCTTATTTTAGAACATTATTGTCACCCCAAGAAGACACCTATACATTAGTGGTCATTCTTTACTCCCTTTTGATCCAGCTGCTGGTAACCATGATTCTATTTTTTATGTTTTTGGATTTGTCTATAGAACAATTTGAGTCTTATAAGAATACTTAATCATCAATAAGAATTTTTTAAAGTAAATGCACAAACTCAGTTGTAGTGCTTATACTGAGTCATGTATCATTTTACTTATTTTAATTATAATGGTCCCTTTTATTCCAGATAAAATGAAAGATGCCATTATAGCTAAATTGGCTAATCAAGCTGCTGATTACTTTGGTGATGCTTTCAAACAGTGTCAGTATAAAGATACACTCCCCAAGGTCAGTTACTGTTTTTACAAATAGTTGGTTATTTTGCATGTGGAAATATTTTATATATAAGAATCAAGTTAAAAGTTTCGTATAGAAAAATCTGAAATTTTAATAAATGTAAAGAACGTATTTGTAGAAATAAAATTTTAAATTGAAGATGCATGAACAATCTTTTATATTTAATATTTATACTATGTATACTCTGTGCTAAACTTATTTTCCTAAGCTATACTTTTTTCAGAAAAACTGATCATCTGTCTGATCAAGGCATTGTGTCATGCTGAATTGTTGGTGATTTGGTATAAGCATGAATACTTGAACATGTTGATTATTCATATTTTTAATTATTGTCCTGTTTTCTTAAAGATGAGTCTTAAGGCGCAAAAACAGACATAAAGAAAAAAGGAAAAGAAAACTTAACAAATTCATCTGATACCTTGATTAGAATTAAGTTTTGCCAACAGGGATAGAAAATTGGGCTGCTAATGGACAGCTAAGGAAAAGCAACCATCTTAAACCGCATATCACAGGAAGTATTCTGTTTTAATGTGAGCTTTTCTGAAGTGATTATTGAAAAGATTGTTCAGAGGTGATCATTTGTTAATGACAAAGTGATGACTAGACTAAGCAGTAAAGTTGGAATGGTCAAAAAGGAACTTAAATATACAGTACATTTGAACTACTCTCTTCAGAATTAGAGAATTCAGGAAATAGTTTCACCTATGTGGAAGCAGATATGCTGTGATTTTTTTTGGTAAGAGAATTTATGAATTTATAAGTAATATTTAGAATCATTGGACATTATGAACTCTCTCTTGCAGAGAGCTTAGGGCTATAGTAAAAAATTCACATAAGTGATGATTTAAAAATAGGAATTAATGTGAAGGGATTTCTAGGGATTTAACATATACATAAAGGGCTAGTGTGTAGAATAATGTTAGAGTGAGTGCATGCTGGTAGAGTACTTACCTAGCAAAGAAAAAAAGAATACTAAGAGCCTAGTAGAATTTTGCCCTGGACACCAGGAATTAGTAACATTACTGTTACAAAGAGACTTGGGATCTCCTCTCCCCTTTTCTTTATGTGAAAGACCTAGTGTTCAGCTGTTCAATGTACAGATACATTCAGTTAGACTATGAGTTTGTTACTGTCATAAAGAGAATAGTATCATTTCAAAGGCTTGGAAGCTGTCTCTAAACATTCCTGTTATTTGTAAACACTGCTTGTTTAAGTAACAAGTTGCTCCAGCCTTACCTTGAGTATTCCCATGACTGAAGTATAAGATAAAGATGTCTTGTGTTTTCTCCTTACTAATAAAGCTAATACGGGATTTTCATTCTGGTTATAAAACTGGTGTATCTGCAAGTAGTGACCCAGGAAGCTAGGAAATTGTTCACTGAGAGAGACAAGGAAACCCTGGGGTAGTAATTCAATTTTTAATTCAACTATATTTCTGTCTAGACAATCATTGTCTAGTGTATTTCTTAAATGTTAAAAAAAAATGTTTCCTAGAAACAATGAAGTGACAGGATAGGCTTAGGTATTTTGGAAGAGCCTTTATCAATATAGTGGATTTTTGGTTCATGTAATTGGATTTTTTAAAAGTAATTTGAACAGAAATCATTTTAAAAAAATTAGGGAAAATAGCACTGTCATTAGTTATTAATGTAGTGCATTTATATGTCTGTGACGTGTTTTTGAGAATATGGTACTGTTAGTATATATTTGCTACTAAATCATTTTTTATTTGACTAAAAATAATCTTTAAGTCTCAGCATATGAATTTAAGTGAGAACTTACTTTACTCTCTTTTGTCTCTTTAACATGACGAAACAGTCAGCTATAGAGCAGTTTCATTAGTATATGTGAGTAATGGTGGTTTAGGTAATTCTAAGAGCTGGGTAAGGGCTCATAAGAAAGTTTGTAAGAGCCCTGTGCTTGGCCATTCTAGTTCTCTTCTTTCTAATGCATGTTCTCCTTTCTTCCTTGTAAACAGAATGCTGACTTCATGACTTAATTAACGAAAATTGTAAAAAATGTAAATTAGCTTCAGTTAACATTTTTTTAAAAGCCCTTAATTTAAAAGTCCTTAACTAGAAGAAAAACCTTGAATTTATAGAGTTCAATCCTCACGACATCATGTTGCCTTCTCCATTTACACCTAGTGACTAACCTGTCTCTAAACCATTAATGGGGTGATTCTAATTTCCCTCTCCTTTTCCTTTTTCTTCCTGCATCCCTGTTGTCTGTTATGGTTTGTTTGGTTGGACTTTCCCTGGTCAGTATTTTTATTTCCAGGAGGTGTTCCCTGTCCTGGCGGCCAAGCACTGCATCATGCAGGCCAATGCTGAATACCACCAGTCTATCCTGGCAAAACAGCAGAAGAAATTTGGGGAAGAGATTGCAAGGTTGCAGGTGAGTCTCAGAGTAATAAACAGGTATCATGACTTGCCATTTTTTTCCTAGTGAGATTTCTAGATTTATTCAATAAAGAAAGGTGATGTTTTTTTATCTGTAGGCTTTACATACTGCATATTTTTGAAGTCATATAATTTATCTAAAAACTTAGTGGAGTTTTTGCATTTAATTTCTTATTTGTCCATGCTATTTTAATATAAAAATATCCTAAGTATAATTACCATGCTCTAAAAAGGTGTGCATATTAATATTTAGAACATGGTAATTATACTTTAGATTGCCTCAGTCTAAAATGGAGGATATAATCCACAGCTTGAGAAGGAGATTAGTTATACATATATGCGTGTGCACTCACACACACATGAAAACAGTAGGTAGTTTTATGCAGTTGTATCCAGTGTTATGGAGGTTGTCAGAAACTTGTTATGATATCTAAAGCAACTGTGCGAAAGGGGCTGTACTACTTATATGAATTATTGATGTGTTTAGTATTGGTAAGTAGAAGATGGGAACAAGAGTATTAGGGAAACTCCTGTAAGGATTGAATAGAACATACCATGAAAGTGTTTTTTATGAAGTTGAAATTAGTCTTTTTGAGTAAACAAATCCATAGTTACAAAATCAGAAAAAGATGTTTTTTGATAAAACCCAGATTTTCATATATGGATGGTTTTTCCATAAATTCACATAATTACAAAATTTACATTATTGTATAAAATGCTTCTGAATAAAAACTTTCAGTGGGAAAGATTTTTTTTTTAAGGATAGCATATTAAAATCATTTGGAATTTACTATGCATTTTTAGGAATTCTGAGGCTGTTTGAATTAAGGGGCTTATATAAAACCTTTCAAGAAAACTTTTGAATTATTAATTTAATTTGAAATTTTTTGGTGCTCATCCTGGGGTTTAAACTCTGGGCCTGGGCACTGTCCCTGAACTTTTGTTCAGTGGAGGCACAGCTCCATTTCCAGCTTTTTGGTGGTTAATTGGAGATGACAGTCTCATGGAGATACCTGCTCAGGCTGGCTTTGAACCTTAATCCTCAGATTTCAGCCTCCTAAATGGCTAGTATTACAGGCATGAGCCACTGGCACCTGGCTAATCTAATTGTTAGATGCTTTCTCAGAAAGGAAACTTCCAAATTCAAACAATAAGACTGTTAGTTGTAGAGACAGATTTCAGTTTTATAGCTTCAATGGTAAGTCAAAGGTTAACAAAGAGCACAAGTACTCACTAATCCATATCTCAAAAGACAGTTTCTCTAGTGGGCATGAAATATTTAAAAATTATTTTCAGCCCATAGATGGCCAAATAGAACATACAGGCAATTAAATAAGATAGATGACCAGATAATATCATTTTCCTATATACCCTCTTAGATGAGTACCCTGTAAACCTGAGAGAAATCATTGGATGGTCACATTCTGTACATCATGGTCTGAGCCCCAGCCCTTTAACACACATCGGCCTTTGGGAGACATTTATCCAAGTTTGAAATCCCTTTTCAGCATAAGATTGTGATTTCCAGTTTAAATTATTGTAGAGGATTGTATAGGTAAATTTTCTTGTAGTAGTCTTGTGATTTTGTTTTAGGCTTATTTTATCTCATCTAATTGTTTTGTATAGTATTGTCTGTATGTGTTAGAATCTGTCTCTGTATAGCTCAAAAGTTTATGACTGGTAAAACACACTGTGTTCAAATCTTCTATAATGGTCTAAAATTTTTTTGGTTAGTATTCCACTTTGGTATAGGCAGAGTTATTGTTTTCTTTTATAATAATTACTTATATAGCTAGAATGTATTAAATACAAAATTAAAGTTTTATATCTTCCTGCTAAATTGGTATTATTCTGTCAATTTACCTGGCAATGCACCTGTGCATTACCTTTCAGTGTTTGAAGATTTTATGATGAGAGACTTCCCAGGTTATCTTGCCAGCTACAATGTTGGAAATGCCATTTCTTAAAGATTTTGTTTTTCCTTTGACATTTTTCTTTTTAGCATGCTGCAGAATTAATCAAGACAGTGGCATCTCGCTATGATGAATATGTCAATGTGAAGGATTTTTCTGACAAGATCAACCGTGCCCTTACTGCAGCAAAGAAGGATAATGACTTCATTTATCATGATCGAGTTCCAGACCTTAAAGATCTAGATCCTATTGGCAAGGCCACACTAGTCAAATCTACCCCAGTCAGTGTACCCATCAGCCAGAAGTTTACTGGTATGCCTATTCTTCTGGTGCTCTTCAATGTACTCTTTTCTGCAGATACTTAATAAGTATTTGTTTTTTAGCTAATGTCACAATTGCTTTGTATAATTTGGGTCTTATTTGCGTTCATGTTCAAAATGAAAGTGAGAATAAAAATTAAAGTGTTTCTTTAGTGCAATTTTAAGGTGGAAAGTTAATGATAAAGCATATGTAGAGTATGGAGCATAGGCAGAAACTAGAAACTGAGTAATGCTTAAGATTTTAGATATTCACTTACCATCTTTAATATATTATTTTTGTATTTAAGATACTGACATTAAAAATACGTTTTTAAATAGGCAGACTTTGGAGTAACTCATTTGTATGAAATAAGTAAATATATCTTTAGTTATTGTAATAAATGATGCAGTATTTGGTATCCCTTAGCTGAGATTCCAGGTATAATATATTTTTTTTTAATTTAATTTTATTTTATTTGAGAACATACTGTACAGAGGGGTTACAATTACATGGGCAGGATAATGCATACATTTCTTACCAAGCATTGCAGCCTCCTCCTTTGTTTACCCTTCACCTCCCTTCCCAGCCTCCCCCCTCCCCCCCACCCAATCCAGGTATAATATTTTTAAGCGCCAGGGAAAGGGACTATTTTTCTTATGATTACTTAGCAAACAAAATATCTATCATGTGCCAGCAACTCTTTTAAGCACTTCATGAGTAGCTCATCTATTTCTCACAAAACCCATGAGATGGTACTGTTAATTTTCTCATTTTACTGATGAGGATATTGATGCATTGAGTAGTTATTTCCCAAGGTCATAGAGCCTAGGAAGTGGTTGAGCTGGAAATTGAATCAACAAATGAGTGGTGTCATCAAAGGTCTTTCATGTTCTCTAGTTTAGAAAAAATAAAATTCAGAAAATAAAGTTCAAAAAGAAATAAAAAGAAAAATAAAGTTCATTATTGCCATTGTCATGAATTTGGTGGTCAGAAATTGCTTCATTGTGCCTTCAATAATGGTTTAGTTTTGATCTGATAAGTATTGGTAGACTATGTGAATACTGAAAGAAAATATGAACAGTTGCTTTTACAGTTTGAGTTTTTGTTCTAAAAATTTATTGGAACTTTCCTTCCTAATTTCAGATTTGTTTGAGAAGATGGTCCCGATGTCAGTGCAGCAGTCTTTAGCTGCATTTAATCAGAGGAAAGCTGATTTGGTTAACAGATCAATTGCTCAAATGAGAGAAGCTACCACTTTGGCAAATGGGTAGGTAGAGTTTACATTTCATAAATCAGTTCCTAAAATTTCCTGTTGAATAATTATTTGACTAAATTGCATGAGCATTTTAGCTTTCTAAGTTTGTAGCTAAATGTCAGGAATATATGGTACAGTTGTAGGAAGACAGATACACATATATTTGTTGGGCTATTTTATTGCAACTTAGCAGAAAAATAATACTTGGAAGAAGTTAGTTTACAGAAGCTGACTACCATGTTGTACTTGTTTTTTTAAAAATTTTAAATTTTTGTTTTTGTTTTATTTTTGGTGCTGATACTAGAGCTTGAACCTAGTGTCAGGTGCTTTTTCTTAGATTTTTTTTTTTTGCTCAGGGCTGCCACTTTTAACACTTAAACCATAGCTCCACTTCTAGCTTTTTGGTGGTTAATTGGAGATGTGTCTCACAGACTTTTCTGCCCAGCTGGCTTCACACTGTAATCCTCAGATATCAGTCTCCTGAGTAGCTAGGATTACAGTCCTGAGCTACCAGCATCTGGCTACCAGTTTGTATTTTAAGAGATTTGCTTCAGGGAAATTAGAAGAAAGGATCTCTTTAAGATACATTATACATCTGTTCATATGGGAAAACTCAGGCAATATATGTGAAAGAAAAAGTGAAAGTTAAAATTGAGTAGATGCGTGGTACTTTAGGTATTCTCAACCAGTTTTTGCTTCTGATGGAAAAAAGACTAAGGGAATAATTAATTGGTATAAAAGAATTTATATATAATTTATACCATAAGATACACACATTTTAAGTATACTGCGTAATTAAATTTGATAAATGTACTCACCTATCCATTAGACCAAGTTAAGAACTATTTCTTAAGAAATGCTTATTCCTCTTAGCTTTTAACCCTTACTCCTTTGGTTTCTGGACACCCTCTATATGTTCCTTATCAGTACAGTTTATTTTTTTTTTTTTGGTTGTTGTTGTTGGTTGTGGGGCTTGAACTCAGGGCCTAGGTGCTGTCTCTGAGCTCTTTTTTACTAAAGGCTAGTGCTCTAGCCTTTGAATCACAGTTGTCACTTCTGGTTTTCTGGAGGTTAATTAGAGATAAGTTTCATGAACTCTCCTGCCTGGACAGGTTTTGGAACTGCAATCCTCAGATCTCAGCCTCCTGAGTTTCTAGGATTACCAGTATGAGCCACCAGTGCCCAGCTAGGTTAGTTTTACTTCTCATACAGTTTAAATGCAATCATTATAGTGTGTACAGTATGTATATTATAGTATAATATATATGTATATATTATATACATATGTATATATATGTATGTATGTTATTATAATGTAAAATACAGTATATAGTGTATGTACTCCTGTGTTTTTTTTCTCACTGTGACAAAATAACCTGAAAAAAACAAAGGAGGAACTTTTTTTTAAAAAATAGTTTCAGAAGTTGTAGTTCATGTTCACTGAGCTCTGTTGCTTCTGGGCCTGTGCATGGCAAAAGGGCATGGTGGAAGAAAGCTACTTATCTAAAGGTAGTCAGGAAACAGACAAAAGGTGGGTCTGTGGATAAGACGCTACACACACACACACACACACACACACACACACACACACACACACACACACACACACACACACACACACGGATGAATGCAGAAAGTGAATATGATCAAAATACTTGATGTACATGTGTGAAAATGGAAGAAAGAAACTCACTGGAATTGGTTTGGGATGTGGGGAAGGATGGGGACAGTGATGGAAGGGTGCATCTGGTCAAGGTACACTGGCAAGTATATGTGGATATGTCAAAATGAACCCCCTGCCCATACAATTAATCGATAATAAAATGTAAGTAAAAAGATAATACTCTTCAAAGACATAATCCCAATGACTTAGTTCCTTCAATTAGGCCATACCTCTTAAGGGCCATTCACCTGTGAACTCATTTAGTGGCTAAATCCATTGACGTTTGTTCCCTTATGACTCAATCTTATTTTCAAACCTTATTTTTCTGGGAAACTTTATATGTAAAATGTATTCACTTAGAATAATGTTTTGAGATTCATCCAGGTCAGTTTGATCTTTAAAAAAAAATATATATATATGTATATGTATATATATAACAATAGATAACAGTATATATTATTAAATATATATTTATATATTTATAATTGGATATTGAGCTGGATATTGAACTCCAGATGTTTCATTTGGTAGGCAAATGCTTTACCACTGAGCTGTATCCCAGCTCTGATCTTACGGAACAGTGTTCCATTGTGATTGAGCACTATCCCATTGTTTGGTAATATAGCAGTTTATTTAAATTAAAATGAAAATGTACAACTATTAAAATATAAATAAGTTCATTGTTAAAATACCCAAGGAGCAAGTATTTTACCCAATAGAATGGAATTTATTAGTGAGTGTAGTATATTAAACTTTATATAAGAGTGCCAAGATTGCTTTCCAGCCTGAGTATTCTATTTTGTATTCTTGCTTCAAGAAAGGTAGTTTCTCTGTAGTCTTACCATTGGTAATTTTAACTATTTTAGTGCATGTGTACTAGTATCTCATTGTGGTTTAATTTATACTTCCTTGAGTCCCAGTGATGTTGAACTTCTCATGTGCTTATTGGCCACTTATTTTTCTTCTGTGACATGTCAGTTGCTATCTTTGGATCCTCCTTTCCCTCTTCCCCTTCTCTCCTCTTCCCTCTCCCCTCCTCTCCCCTCCCCACCCCTCCCCTCCCCTCTTTTCTTTTTGCTGGTCCTGGGGTTTGAATTCAGGGCCTGGGTGCTAACCTTGAGCCTCTTTGTGACCAAGGCTAGTGTTCTATCTCATGAGCCACAGTACCACTTCTGGCTTTTTCTGAGTAGTTTATTGGAGATAAGAGTCTCACGAACTTTTCTGCCCAGGATGGCTTCAACTGTGCGAAAGGTCTCAGCCTCCTGAGTAGTTAGGATTACAGATGAGAGACCCCAGCGCTCAGCTTCCCCTTATTTTTGTATGTGTTTGGTAGGCATTCTATCATTGACCTATATGCCTATTTATTTGGTTCCTTCTTTGAGTTTTCTGTGTGGACTGACTTCTAACTATGACCTATTTTATATGATTGTGACAATATGATAAATCAAGTATAATAAAAAAACTTTATTTTTTTTGTGAACATACAGTACAGAGGGGTTACAATTACATGGGCAAGATAATGAGTACATTTCTTATCAAGCATTGCAGCCTCCTCCTTTGTTTATAAAAAAACTTTTTTTAAAAGTAGTTTTAAAGGTAGAATTTTCAGCTTTTCACTAGACTGAAAAAATGTTAGTTTGAACTATAAACCAAATGCCAAGTATATTTTATACTGTCCATAGAATTTAGCTTCTAATTCTGAACTGTGAACTTTAGTTCTCCAATGATTTTAATTTTATTAATCACTGTCTTTCTGCTTTTCCCTTTATTTTTATATTCATATATACTAATCTTTTTTGGACATGTGGAGATGCTTATTCTATTGATAATGATTTTGGTGGCTATAGTATAATATAAAGGTTATTTAGGCTTTGCATGATACATTATTTTATTTTTTACAGGGTGTTAGCTTCCCTCAATCTTCCAGCAGCGATTGAAGATGTGTCTGGAGATACTGTACCTCAGTCCATATTGACCAAGTCCACATCTGTCATTGAACAAGGAGGCATCCAAACTGTTGATCAGTTGATCAAAGAATTACCTGAACTATTGCAAAGAAATAGAGAAATCCTAGATGTGGTATGTTTAAAATTTTTTTTAAAAATTTATTTATATTTTATTGTAACATGATATGGTATGTTTTGAAAGATGTTATTCAAGTAAAACCTACCTTTTGGTATCCAGTAGGAATTGAGACTGGAGGGTTTCATGGAATAACATTCAACACCAGGGTGAATGCATTGTAGCTTAGAGCTTGATCTTCAGCTTCAGAGGAAATTCTGTTGAGAATGAGTTCATTGTTAAGAGAAAATAAATGCATGTTAATGAAATTGACAGAGCCATTGTATCATACTAGTATACAATGGAAAACTATTGCACAAACGATATCAAGTCCTCATAGTTAATAATTTCTTTTGTACATAATATCTGTGTGAATGTAGAATCAGACAAAGGAAGTTAGACCATCCAATGGTGGTTGAATTCATTTACTTTGAAGAGATGGCACTTTTTCAATGAAATATTCTAAAGTTGTTTTGGTTAAAGCTAACTATTTACCAGTGTAATTCTCTTCCTGGTGGCTTTGCACTTCCCAATTTCTGTATTTAACGAATACATTTAAACTGGTTAGAAAGCTTTTGCTAGTTTGAGTTACATATTCTCTTTTGTTCTCTTACCAGTGCTTTTAATACATAATATTTTGATTTGTCAGTTAGCTTTCAGAGAATATGCTTTACTTCACTTTCTGAGTACTGTGAGGAAGAGGAAGTATTTCTTTTCTTTTCTTTTTTTGTCGGTTGTGGGGCCTGAACTCTGGACCTGGGTGCTGTCTCTCAGCTCTTCAGATTAAGGCTAGTGCTCTACCACTTGAGCCACAGGGCCACTTACGGTTATTTTTGCGTAGATGGTACTGAGGAATCAAACCCAGGGCCTCATGCATGCAAGGCAAACACTCAACCACTGAGCCACCTTCCCAGCCCAGAATTTCTAAGTACTTAGGATATTGTGAAGTATGTGATTGATAATTTTTACCTCCCTGGATTACTGCAAAGATTAAATCAAGACAGTGAAATACCTAGCTCTTGGGACTCATAGTCTGTTCTTAATAAATTATAGCTATATTATGGTTACATTATCACAGTGGTAATGCAACTGTTATAACTTGATAATGAGAATGAAGGTTGTTATTCATCTTTCAATGTATATCAGCTTGAAAAAAGAGTGGGGGCTGGGAAGGTGGCTCAGTGGTAGAACACTTGCCTTGCATGCCTGAGGCCCTGGGTTCGATTCCTCAGCACCACATAAGCAAAAAGAAAAAACCTGGAAGTGTTGCTGTGGCTCAAGTGGTAAAGCACTAGCCTTGAGCTGAAGAGCTGAGGGACAGCGCCCAGGCCCAGAGTTCAGGCCCCACGACCGGACCAAAAAAAAAAAAAAAAAGTTAGAGTGGGAACTTACTGCATTACTGACTTGGGAAAGCTGCTTATGAGGGATTCTACCCTATGCCGTCAGCATTCATCTGCCTTGCCTGTAAAGACATAATAATCAGAAAAACTAAACGCGATCATTAGTATTGTGTAGTTGAGTACTAAATCTTTGCTGCTGCCAAACTTGTTAGAAATTCAGAATCTCGGACCTGAATTAAAATCTGCATGTTGATTCATCTGGAAATTAAGATGAGAAAGTTGTGAAGTAGAGTAATAGATGTGCCTGCTACTTAGTCTAAGTTAGACATTAGGTATTACATCATTTCCTTGATGTTTAAGATGATATTGAATGGAAGATACACGTTTGGTTTTGTAAAAAGTACTTTTTTTTTTTTTGGGTCCAATTGTGGGGCCTGAACTCTGGGCCTGGGCGCTGTCCCTCAGCTCTTCAGCTCAAGGCTAGCTAGTGCTCTACCACTTGAGCCACAGCGCCACCTCCGGCTTTTTTCTTTTTGCTTATGTGGTGCTGAGGAATCGAACCCAGGGCCTCAGGCATGCAAGGAAAGCGCTCTACCACTGAGCCACCTTCCCAGCCCCTAAAAAGTACTTTTTTTAATCAAAACTTTGCTTACTGAAATGTCATCAGTTATGAGAAGAATTTTTATAACTATGAATGTGAAAAAATTCATCTTATACAGTAGTGTTTGTCTTCATCTCAGTATGAAGCACATTTTTATCTTATTTGTAACAGCCTTGTAAGGAAGGTTTTCTTTTACTCTATTAGTTGTACTTACAGACTCTCCTTTTATATTTGGAGAGTCTCCTTTTAAGTAAGGTGTTAAGTTGTGAAGTTGTAAAACTATTACTTTTTTGCATTATTTGTCTCTCTAGTAGCTTTCACACACTTTGTTTTGGTGTTGATTTTTAGAAATTTTTAGGGTTTTTTCTTTATTTCTATTTCTATTTATTTTTGCTAGTACAGGGTTTGAACTGAAGGCTGCATAATTTCTCAGCTTGCTTGCTTGGTGTTCTATCCCTTGAGCTATACTTCTAGCCCGGCTTTTTGCTGGTTATTTTGAAGTTGTAGCAACCAGGCTGGCTTTGAACTGTGATCCTCTAGATTGGTTAGCCTCCTGAATAGCTTGGATTACAAGAATTACCCGTGATACCCAGTGTAATTTTTTTCTTTCATATTTTTAAAAATTTAATTTACAAATTTAAATTAAGGAGTTATACAAAGGAATTATAACTCTGTATGTAAGGTAATGAATACAGTGCTTCTTGGACAATGTCACCCCTTACTGTGCTTTTCTTTATTTTCCCTTGTAATTTTGGTACTTAATAATTTATCATTGTTGTTTCCTATAAATGTTGGATCTATAAATCTTGGATTTTTTTCAGTTTTTTTTTTTTAAATTTGTTTATTTTGGTGTTGATACTGGGACTTGAGCTCAGGGCCTGATGCTCTCTCTTGGCTTTTTCGTTCATGTTTGGTGTTCTGCCACTTGTGCCGTGTTTCTGTTTTTGGCTTTTTGCTGGTTAGTTAGAGATAAGAATCTTAAGGATTTATCTTCCCTGGCTGGCATTGAATTGCCATTCTCAGATTTCCACCTCCTGAGTAGCTAAGGTTATAGATGTGAGCCACTGGCACCTGGATTCCCTCCTCCTACCCCCCAATACTGGGGTTTGAACTTGGGGAGGCTTTGTGCTTGCAAGACAGGTACAAGTTGAGCCATGCTTCCAGTCCATTTTGCACTAGTTACTATTTTTAATGTAGTCTTTTCTCCTGGACTGTCCTGTATTATGATCTTCCTATATATAAATGTATCCCTAGTTGGATTATGGGAGCATACCACTGCATGTATTTTTTCCGATGAGATAGGATTTCATGAACTTTTTACCCTTTTTTCAGTCCCCCAAAGATGATAGTATTACAGGTGTATACCATTACGCCCAACTCCTTTTTTCCTTTGTTCTGTCATCTCCTTTTCTTGTTAGATTGCTGGTGGGGCTTCAGAATCAGTTGTAAATATCACTTATGGTCTTTTTTTTTTTTTTTTTTAAACCATTTCTCTCTGTGTTCTTTCAGAGACTACGTAAGCATCCTAGATTGTTGGTTGGCTTGTAGCTATGCCTTTTTTGTTCTGTTCAGTGTGTGTGTGTGTGTGTGTTTGTGTGTTTGTTTGAATTTCCTTGATCTTTTTCCTTTCCAAGATATCTAGTTGTTTTAAAACATCTCATCTATCTCATATTTATCTTAAACTTTGCTCTCTCCTCCCTTCCTTTCTTTGCCATTTTTCCCTTCCTTTTTATTTGAGGTAAAATTCACCTGACATTCACCATCAACTTGGTTAAAATGCATCGAATGACCTTTAGTACCATCACAATGTTGTGGAGCATTCATACTTTAGTTGCAGGAACTCTACCTATCAGCAGTAACTTGCTCTCACTTTTCCTCTACTGCTGGCAACTATGAATATGTATGTTTCTGTCTGTTCTGGATGTTTTATAATAATGGAATCCTTTCATATGTGGCCTTTTGAGATTGGCTGGTTTTAACATGTTTTCAGTCCTCATACTGTTCATGCATCAGTGCTTCGTGAAAGTTAAATAGTATGTTACTTATGGGCATGCCATATTTTGTTCCTCACTACTGGAGGTTTTACTTTGTTGTGAATGCTACTGCTATTAGTGTGTATGATTGTAAAAGTTTTAATTTGAACATGTGTGTTTTCAGTTTTGTTGGATATATGTGAAAGATCACAATTGCTGGGTCAAGTGGTAAGTCCAACTTTAATTTTTTGAGGACCTGCCAAACTGTTTTGCTGAGTAGCTGTACCAGTTTACATTCCTGACAACAGTGTGTGAGGGCTATAGTGTATTCACATCCTAGTCAGCCCTTGAAATTGTTCTATTAAAAACAAGTGTAGCTTACTCGGTGTGTATGAAGTGGTATGGATTTGATTTACATTTTCCTAATGGCTAATCATTAGGACGAGTATCTTCTCACTTGCTTGTTTGTCACTTGTGTCCCTTTTTTGGAGAAATGTCTAAGCCTTCAGCCTTTAAAAAACCATATTGTCTTTTTGTTGATGAATTATAAGGGTGTCATATATTTTTATATTATACAGTATTATTTTGTATTATGCATTATACATTATATGATTTACAGATATCTTTTCCTATTCTGTGGATGATCTTTTCATTCTTATGAAATTGTTCTTTTGTGTAGAAGAATTAAAATTTTCTTTTGGTGGTGCTGGAGTTCGAATTTGATAGACACTCTTATCAGTTGACGTGCCCCCCAGACCTTTTTGCTTTTGTTAATTTCTATATAGGATATTGTATTTTTGGCCTGGACTTTGAGCCTCCCTATTTCCTCTTTCTCTGTAGTTGTGATGACAGGTACACACACTGCCTAGCCAAATGTTTTAAGTTTTGAAGTACAGTTATGTAATTTTTCCTTGTTTGTGTTTTTGGTGTCATTTAGGATTCTGTTGCTAAAAATTCAGGGTCATGAATACTTTTATATATTCTTCTTTATATATATTTTATATATTCTTCTTTAGCTCTTATGTTTGATCTCAAATCTTGAATGTGGTATGAAATCTAAGTTTATGCTCTTACCACTTTTTTTTTTTTTACTGTAGCTTTGTAAATGGGGGAGCTTAATCCTACAATTTTGCTCTATTCATTCAAGATTGTTTTTCTATTTGGAGACTCTTAAAATTTCATATAAATTTTTGGATTAGATTATCAAGTTTTTCAATAAAAAGTGAAATTTGATAAGGATTGCATTTTTTTTTTTGTCAGTCGTGGGGCTTGAATTCTGGGTCTAGGTGCTGTCCCTCAGCTCTTCAGTTCAAGGCTAGTGCTCTACCACTTGAGCCATAGCACCACTTCTGGTTTTCTGGTGGTTAATTGGAAATAAGAGTTTCATGGAGGGCTGGGAAGGTGGCTCAGTGGTAGAGTGCTTGCCCCGCATGCATGAGGCTCTGGGTTCGATTTCCTCTGCACCACATAAATGGAAAGAGCCAGAAGTGGTGCTGTGGCTCAAGTGGTAGAGCACTAACCTTGAGCTGAAGAGCTGAGGGACAGGGCCCAGGCCCAGAGTTCAAGTCCCACAACCAACAACAACAAAAAAAGGATAATTATTTGCTGGGCGCTGGTGGCTCACGCCTGTAATCCTAGCTACTCAGGAGGCTGAGATCTGAGGATCGTGGTTCAAAGCCAGCCCGGGCAGGAGAGACTGTGAGACTCCTATCTCCAATAAACCACCAGAAAACTGGAAGTGGCGCTGGAGCTCAAGTGGTAGAGCCCTCGCCTTGAGCTGACGAGCTGAGGGACAGCGCCCAGGCCCAGAGTTCAAGCCCCACGACCGACCAAAAAAAAAAAAAAAAGAGTCTCATGGACTTTCCTGCCCAGCTGGCTTTGAACTGTGATCCTCAGACCTCAGCTTCTTGATTAACTAGGATTACAGGCATGAGCCACCGGTGCCTGGCTACACTAAGTTTTTAAATCAGTTTGAGGAGTATTTCCAGTCTCAACAATGTTATGTCTTACCCATGAACACAGGATATCTTACCATTTTTTTTTTGTCTTAAATTTTTTCAACAGTGTTATATAGATTTCAGTGTATAGTCATTGTAATACCTGTTTGGTAATTTATTTCTAATTATTTTATTCATTTTGATGTTACTATAAATGAATTAAAATACTTCTTTTTTGGACTGTTTATTACTAAAGTTTGAAATATGTGAAATTCTATGTGAATTTTATTTTTTACAGTTTTACTGAAATTATTAATTTTTTGCCTGCCTACCTGCCTGCCTTACTCCTTCCCTCCCTCCCTTCTTCGCTTCCTCTCTTCCTTTCTACCAGTCCTAGGGTTTGAACTTGGGGCTTGGGCCCTGTGGCTAGTGCTCTGCCACTTGAGCCATACTCCATTTTTGGCTAATTGGAGATAAGAGTTGCACAGACTTTGCTCCCTGGGGCGGATCTAGGGTGCATTCCTCAGATCTCAGCTTTCTGAGTAGCTAGATTATATGCATGAACTATGGGTGCCTGGAATCAATCTTTAGTATTTTCTGCATATATGTTTTTATCAAATGCAACTGGAGATAGTTTTACTTTTTCCTACCAATTTGGATGTTTTTATTCTTGCCTAATTTTTGTGGTATTACAGTGGTGAGAGTGGACATCCTTTTGTTTTTTAATCTTACAGGGAAGCTTCCAGTGTTTAATTATTTATTTTTCTAGTTTTTTTTTTTTTAGTAAGCAAAGTCATGTGTCACTTTAATGTGGGGGTATATTCTAAGAAACACTTGTTAGGTGACTTTTGTCATTGCGCAGATATCAGAGTGTACTTACAGCATCATTAGGCATGTAATTTTATGGTACTACTGGAAGAAAAACATGGCTATGTATGTGGTGCAAGACTGATTGATTTTAGCTGTTAGTTGTTCAGAGATGGCCTATATTCGTGTATTGTGTTGAGGAAGTTCAATACACCTGGCTCCTTGAGTGAAATCCATCTTTTCTCCTTCCTTGAGAACTTATACATAAAGTTCCTTTCTTTCTCCTTTCCTATGTGGGAGGCATGGGTAGGATTGCCTGATTAAGGCTGCTCTGGGCAAAAATTTGAGACCCTATCAGGAAAATAAGGCAACAATGAGCTGGAGCAGTAGCTGAAGTGGTAGAGCACTCACTTAACAGGTATGAAGCCCTGAGTTCAAACTATGTTCTCCCCACAAAAATAAAAATATTCATTGCGAGTCTCTGATTTGTAACTTTCCTAGTTTAACAAAGAAAGTGCTTTTGTTCTCACTTCTTACTATATTGGTTCTACCTAGGTTTTTTGTTTCCTCCTCATATATTAAGTTCAGTGATGAACTTCATAGATGGCAAAGTATAGATAATAAGCCAGTTCTGGTTTTTGGCCTACTTTTGTATGCACTCACTAGCTGAATTCATTATCATTGTTAGAGGATTATAAAAATAATGTATGATAATATATTAATATAGATGATAATATATGATAGAGATTCTATGAGGCCTGCAAGGCCTAAAGTATTTCCTCTTTGGTATATGACAGAAAAGATTCTGTTCTGTGCCCTAAGTGATCAAGGCCCGTCACACACCCCTGGCTCTGGCCCTTGTGTCCATGGGTAGATTAAGCTCTTTCTTGTGTTTCTTTACAACTGAGCATTAGAAGGGAATTTTTATATGTGACATACAATTTTCAATTTGTGTACTGGGATAGAAGTCAGACTTACATAGCATAATTTCATTGTTCTTTTTGTTTTATGTTCAGAGGTTTGTCTTATGACGTCTGTTTATTTTATTTTGTTTTTGTGGTACTGAGGAATTGAACCCAGGGCTTCATGAATGTTAGGCAAGCACTGAACCACTAAGCCACATTCCTAGCCTCTGTTTATTTTAATCTTAAACATTTCTTCAAAGTACTTTGATACTTTAAAGAAGTATTTTACTGAGAAATACTATGAGTAATGTAAACCTTACATTTTGTTACTGTTTTTGTTTTTTATGGTATTGAGCATGAAGCTTAGCACCTTGCACATGCTGGGCAATTGCTCATCCACTGATCTATACCCTAGCCCAATTTTATGACTTTTTATTTATTACATATAACTTAGGTTTCTACAAAAACAAAAAGTATTTTTTTCATTAATCAGTAGTGTACAAGTTTTTGTTATGAAGCTCACTTACTTTGGGCATGATTATTATTATTTTAATATAAAATGTTATATGCAGGGGTTACAGTTATGTGAGTCAGGTAAAGAGTACATTTCTTTTTGGACATTTTCACCCCTTCCCTCACACCCTGCCAGTTTTTCACTCCCATCCCCACCTACAAATTGTATAGTTCATTTTCAACAGTGTCTAGTGAGTACCACAGCTACATTTGTTTACCTTTAGTCCCTCCCATTTCTGTGCCTCCCTTTACCCTCCCATAGACATGTAAACAAACAGGACAAAAAAGAAAATGAAAGCAGCAACGAAGAAAGTACTTCTTATTTCTGGTTCCTGGAATTCATTTTGATAAATACTATTTTGTATGATCAGAGGCACTCTCTTAAGAGTATCCTTTTTTGGGGACTGGGAAGGTGGCTCAGTGGTAGAGCACTTGCCTTGCATGCATGAGGCCCTGGGTTCGATTCCTCAGCACCACATAAGCAAAAAGTAAAAAGCCAGAAGTGGCGCTGTGGCTCAAGTGGTAGAGTGCTAGCCTTGAGCTGAAGAGCTGAGGGACAGCGCCCAGGCCCTGAGTTCAGGCCCCACGACCGGATCTCTCCTCCGCCCCCCCCCCCCCCCCCCAAAAAAAAAAGAGTATCCTTCTTTGGTCTCACTATGTGTGAATGCCTAGAGTTCTGTATAATTTATCATGTACCAGTGTATTTTAGATCTAGTTTCCACATATGATATTTGTCTCCCTGAGCTTGGCTTACTTCACTGAGTGTGGTTTGTTGTAGGTACATCCATTTTCCTGGGGTATGATTATTTTTAAAATGCCTAAATTTTGTATGATAGAAATGGTATCTCAGTGTTTTTTTGCTTCCTTTTTTCAAGTCACTAAAATTGTTGGATGAAGAAGAAGCAACTGATAACGACTTAAGAGCAAAATTTAAGGATCGCTGGCAAAGGACACCATCCAATGACCTTTACAAACCTTTAAGAGCAGGTAAGAGTATATATAAATGACCTTCACTAGAATAGATTCTTGATTTGTACCCATGGTTTTGCTTGATTAAGTTAGAATAAATTGTAAACTTATTTTTACTGAATTGTGTATTACTACAAAAATTGTGTTTTCTCTTACAATAGATCCCTGTTCTTCCTAAGAAGAAAAAAAAAATGAACCTTTATTTCCTTTGCCAGCCTATCTTTATATTTAAAAATCATAGGAAGTCATATAGATGATTTTATAATTTTTTTTGTTGCAGGTGTTGGGGCTTGAACTTAGGGCCTGAGCTCTTTTTGCTCAGGATTAGTGCTCTACTTGTGCCACAGCCCTACTTCTGGTTCCTTTGGTGATTAAATAGAGATAAGATCTCCTGTCCTGCCCTAGCTAGTTTCGAACCGTGATCCTCAGATCTTGGCCTTCTGAGAAGCTAGGATTACAGGCATAAACCACTGGTGTCTGGCTCTATTTAAATATTTTGTACTTATGATATACCTCATGACTAGGGACTTATTTATCTTCACACTTTTTTTTTTTCCACCTAAAATATGTCTACTGGTTTTTAAAGTCAAGTTGTCTTTTTTTTTTTTTTTTTTTGTCAGTCATGGGGCTTGAACTCTGGGCCTGGGTGCTGTCTCTCAGCTCTTCAGCTCAAGGCCAGCGCTCTACTGCTTGAGCCACAGTGCCACTTCCGGTTTTCTAGTGGTTTATTGGAAATAACAGTCTCACAGACTTTCCTGCCCGGGCTGGCTTTGAACTTCGATCCTCAGATCTCAGCCTCCTGAGTAGCTAGGATTATAGGTGTGAGCCACCGGCACCCAGCTTTCAAGTTGTCTTTTGAGATAATTCTTTTTATATGTTATGTTCAATTTTTTGAGTGACTAATACCTTCTGATATTCATTGAGTATAGGAAAAGATTAGACTAATGTCATTGTGCTTTTATTTGGCACCAGATTATACCAAATTTAACATGTGTCTATGCTTCTGACTTTATTTTTCCAAAACCAAAAATGCCAAGATTGACAACTGAGATTTTATTTAGTAATTTGGGGCCTATAGGAATGGAAGATGAGTGAAGTTGAGGATGAGAACTTAAAAGTACATATGGTCCATAAATATTGCTGTTAGAATTATGCTAAGCTCTGGAAACTTTTTTCCTCAGAGGGGACCAACTTCAGAACAGTTTTAGACAAAGCTGTACAAGCAGATGGCCAAGTGAAAGAACGTTATCAGTCTCATCGTGATACCATTGCACTTTTGTGTAAGCCAGAGCCTGAGCTGAATGCTGCCATCCCCTCTGCTAACCCAGCAAAGACCATGCAGGGCAGCGAGGTAAGAGGGTGAAAGTTGGTGTGAGTGGTCATTGCTTATAAAAATTGTGTTCAGGCTATTGTGCACAGTGAACTGCTAATGTCTTACTGTCCTCTTTAAAAAACACACAAGTTTGCTGTGAGTATAACTGTAATAGAACATTTGCTTAGTACACACAAGCCTATAGGTATGATCCCCAGCATATATACACATGTATATATACACATATACTTGCTTGTGTGTATGTATATATACATATATATATGTATTTATAAACATATACACACATATTTATTCAGAAATAACTGGGGGTTGTTTAAAATACTTAAAATATTATATATGGTTTGATAGGTAATTATTACTGATATTAATGTTAAAATTTCATTCTTTAAATGCCTTAATGAGGATGTACTAAATTCTAGATACTTCATATATTCACAGTATTCAAGTTTCATAAAAGAGGGCCTTGGAAGTATAGAAACTTCCCTGGAGTTAAAAGCAAACAAAACTGGGTTTAGCTATATAATCTTGTGACTATAATTTCTTCTTTTAAAAGATTGCATAGTACCTTCCACTATATTCTGCTAGGATTATTTCTCAAGGGAAAATTGACAACTTAATAAATGGGTAACATCATCATGGTATTTCTTTCTTTTTTTTTTTTTTTTTTTTTTTGTCGGTCATGGAGCTTGAACTCTGGGCCTGGGCGCTGTCCCTGAGTTCTTCAGCTCAAGGTGAGCTCTCTACCACTTGAGCCACAGTGCCCACTTCTGGCTTTTTCTGTGTATGTGATAAGGAGGAATTGGACCCAGAGCCTCATGCATGGGAGGCAAGTACTTTACCACTGAGCCACCTTTCTAGCCCCTCATCATGGTATTTCTAACTGTGGTAGGAAGGAGAAAATCAGTAGTAGGGAATCTTATTTGAAAAGTCCTAATGAGAGGATCACATAGCATGTAAAATTGAATGGATAAATGCTCTGAGATAGGAGATGTAGATGTGCCAGAGTACACTGGAAAATAAGCCAAAAACAGTTGAGTTTCCTGAGATAGTAGATTTTGAAAGCTAACAATATTGTTGCCTATTTGTCTTTTTTACAGAATGATTTCATGTGTTTAACACTTACTAGAAGACACTCAACTAAGTACTTTGAAAAGCTGACAAATGGATTGATACCCAATTTGTAGTTCAATGTGGAAAATTAGTCATGTACAAAGATAATTAATGAAGGATAGAGCTTAAAAGGAAACAAAGTATACTGTGAGGGTTTAGATCAAGAATTGAAACTTCAGCAGCTTGAAAATTGCAATCTAAAATAAGGTTATGACCAAAATAAAAAAAAAAAGAACTTGCAATATAAGGAATCTATAAAATTGTCCAGTTTATTATTTAAATTAAATTGTTTTTAAATTTGTATTTTGGACACTATTTGCTTTTAGAATGACAGATCCCTGAACTTACAGTTAAAGGTAGGGAAACAGCAGATCACACACGTGATTTAAACACAAGTGATGATAATCAGAGGCTCACTGAGAACTTTTCCACCTCAAACCGAGCTGTGTAGTACACTTGGGAACTAAAACTTTTTGTTTTTAAAATTTCTTTTGTGTCTTCAAGCTTACTGTTTTTGACCATATTTGGTAAAAATGTATAATTTGTGACTGAGGCAGGCTTACTGTGTACAGTTAGGCATGAAACTCAACTATCAAGTAGCAGTGGTTAATATGATTGAACTGTTACCCTTTGATACAAATCAGGTTAGCCACTTTATTTGTTATTTCAGTCTTCACAGTGGTCCTGAAATAGGTATAATTTCTATTTTACAGGTGAATTTTCCAGTGCTTACTAAATATCTTTTAAGTGCTTTTCTTGTCCTTTAAAAAGTTTAGAAATGCTTGTATTTGTAAACTGTCCTTGCAAGCCCATTGTGCCTACTAAAGGGAATATAATCAGAGTTGAAGTCGTTTTTTTCCTATGTAATTATCTTTCATCTTTATATTTTGTTTTTGTGTTTATTTTTATGATACTGGGTTCTGAACTCAGAACTTTATGCTTGCCAGGTAGGCATTTTACCATGCCTCCAGCCCTTTCTTGTACTGGTTAATTTTGAGATAGGGTCTTGCTTCCTGCCTGGCACATTTCTGGGCTGCCATACATCTATTTATGCTTCCTATAAAGCTAGGGTGATAAGCAAATACCATGTGTATAGCTATTGATTGAAAAAAGGTCTTAGGATTTTTTTTTTCCTTCTCGAGGGATGGCCTTATACTGTGATTCTTCCTATCTTTGCCCCTCTAAGTAGTTAGGATTACAGAGTGGCACCTGGCTAATTTTTTTGGAATGTGTTAAAAAAAAAAAGTTGTGATTCAAAGGTACATATAGAACAGTCTTATTCCTGCTAGGGAGTATATACTTCCTAGAAGTTACCAAATTTTTAATATGTTACTGGTTTGTCCTTATTGCTTTTTTTTTTACAAAAGACTCATTTTGTAAAGATGTCTCTAAATAATATATATCTTTATATTGTAATTTTTTTCTTACTCAGAATACAGTGATTTACAAATATGCTTTTGTACTACTCCTTCCCTTTCAAAAGCCTCCTCTCTTAAAAGTTAACACTAGGGCATTTAGGAAAAATGAGTGTGAACAGAAGGTCAAAGGAAGTTCACCTAAATTCAGAAGGAACTTCAGACTTTTCCTCAGGTTTTTCCTCTTCAGTAGGGAATATTACCTGTGGATATTACTGTCCAGGAACTGACCACTGAGGTAGGAAGGACAGGATAGCACAGCAATACTCAGTTGGAGAGGTCCACTGGAGTTGAGATTGCCATTGGTGAAAAGAAAGGGAGGAGGAGAGATGTGGTTTATGGGCATCATCCTTTGTATTTTCCCCAGCTTTCTTTCTGAAAACATTATGCAGGGTAAACAGATTGGGGCTGAGGAGGGGGGTTGGAGTTCTCCCTTATAGTCTTTTTTTTTTTTTTAAATTGTGAAAATACCATACAGAGGAGTTACAATTACATGGGCAAGATAATGAGTATATTTCTTATCAAGCATTGTTGCCTCCTCCTTTGTTTCCCCTTCCTCTCCCTTCCCATCTCCTCCCCCCCCTCCCCCCACTTACTAAGTATGATGAAATGAGTGTGGAGGAGGCAGCTTGAAAGCAACATTAGAGGCACTTGTATACTATTAATATAAAGGAGCACTTAAGATTTTGAATGTAAGCCAGAGGCTGCCTAGCTGACTAATGTTACTACTGGCTGTTATTATGTTGTAACCATGTTACTTAATTTTTCTGGGACTCAATTTCTTTATGTCTGAAATGAGATACAGTATATAGATATGCTATAACATTATAAGGAATTATATTTGTGAACTGTTTAGCACAGTGCCTGGTATAGCAAATTCAGTAAATTATAGCTTATATTACTGTTATTTAGTACTGCTCCTGTTATAATCTGAGTCAACAAAAGTACAATGTCTACACATAAATAATACCTGATGTATACTTTATACTATCTCTCTGAGAAAGTATCTCCCTCTGACCATGAATTAACCTTTGTATATTAATTCCTTCTTGAAATGGGCTTTTTGTTATTTAAATTAAGATACCTTTTTTTTTCTTGTTTAGGTGGTAAATGTCTTAAAGTCTTTATTGACAAACCTTGATGAAGTGAAGAAGGATAGAGAAAGTCTTGAGAATGACCTGAAATCAGTAAATTTTGACATGACAAGCAAGTTTTTGACAGCACTGGCTCAAGATGGTGTGATAAATGAAGAAGCGCTTTCTGTTACTGAACTGGATCGAATCTATGGCAGTCTTACAAATAAAGTCCAAGAATCTCTAAAGAAACAGGAGGGACTTCTAAAAAGTATTCAGGTAAAATTTATATACTTAATAGGATGTATGTTTAATAAGCTGCAGAAAGGATATGCCTGCACTACATGCAACTTGAGAGTCTGTGGTTCAGTGGGAAGTATGACATATCTATGTTTTGAAAATTTAACTCAAAACTCTTTAGTGCTAAAATGTTATATGTTGTAGTGCTTGATTTTTATATCAAGCAATGCTTGCTTTTTCAGATAAAATAGTAGTTTTTCCAAATATTTAGAAGACTTAAGGACTGAAGTGTGCCTCAGGTGGTATATAATATATGCATAGGTCCTGAGTTCAAACCCCAGTACCACCACCACTACCAAAAAATAAAAAGAAAACATTTATTTTTTGGCTATATGTGAGGAAAATCAAAATTAGTTGGAATCATTGCACATATTGCTGCAATTGTATGGCTAATCCATATACGCTTTAGATTTTCAACATAGTGCAAAATTAAATCTATTTAGATGTTTAAAGTTATTTATATTCATAAATATTTTTTAGACAATAAGACTGGAAAATTTGTCCTTTTAGTAGTTGGTATGCATTATTTCTGTTTGAATATTACAGTGTGTAGTGAATATTTCTATAAAATAAAAGGTATTCTAAATAAGTAAAAGAGGTTTTTTTTTTTTGTTTTTTGTTGTTGTTTTTGCCAGTCCTGGGGCTTGAACTCTAGGTCTGGTTACTGCCCTTGAGCTTCTTTTGCTCAAAGCTGGTACTCTAATACTTGAGCCACAATGCCACTTCCAGCTTTTTCTGTTTATGTGGTACTGAGGAATTGAACCCAGGGCTTCATGCAGGCTGGGCAAGCACTCTACTACTAAGCCACATTCCCAGCCCAGTGAAAGTTTTTTTTTTTTTTAATTCATTTTTATTTACTTTTTTGGTTCTGATCCTGGGCATTGAACTTGGGGCCTGAGTGCTGTCCTGAGGTTTTTTGTTTAAGACCTAGTGTTCTATCACTTGAGCCACAGCTCCACTTCTGACTTTTTGGAAGTTCATTGGAAATAGGAGTGTCACAAACTTTCCTGTCCTGGCTGGTTTCAAATCACGATCCTCAGATCTTAGCCTCTGAGTGGCTGGTTACTGGTGCCGGCATTAAAAGAGTTTATTTTGATGGTGTTTTTTTTGTTAAAGTTACAGATTAATAGAAATTGTAATGATTACTGGTTATATTTTGACATCTACTGAATTTGTGATATTTTTACTTAAGGAAAATTTCAAAGCATTGTACTATCTCCAAAGAAACATTACAGGGTCTAGTATATGACTCAAGTGGTACAGTGCTTTCCTGGCAAGTATGAGGACCTGAATTCAAGTCTCAGTTTCATAAAGAAAAAAAAATATCATATGAGGTGCTTCTAGTAATTTATATATGTCTGGAACCCTGAATAATTTTCACATTTGGGAGAAGGATCAATAAAAATGTAGTTGTTAAACTGATTTTATAAATAAATGCACATTATATCTACCTTTCTTTTAACAAGGTCTCACATCAAGAATTTTCAAAAATGAAACAATCTAACAATGAAGCTAATTTAAGAGAAGAAGTTTTGAAGAATTTAGCTACTGCATATGACAACTTTGTTGAACTTGTAGCTAATTTGAAAGAGGGCACAAAGGTATGAAGTACAGAGGAGAAATACTAGCTAATCAACTAGATGGGAAAATGTAGTTTGGAGGTTTATTGGTATTTCTATGTGGGTCAAATTATTCTTTGCCTGGAATTTGGTAGTTTTCATGCCTTTACCTTCTTGTTTGTTAAAAGGGAGAAAGCTTAATGAAGTTAGTCGCATTTTGTTAGAACTTTAAGAGTAAATTATATATTACAGCTGCAGAAAGGGAATATAAGTATTTCCTGTAGTGAGAATTAGGTCAAAAGGCCAATGACACCTTTTCGAGGATTAGAACTAGACCCATTTGAATGAATTATGAGGTACTAGGAGTAACCAATGCTGATCTTTGATTGAAAAGAGGCTGGGGATGCATGACTTTTATATTCTTCACTAGTGGTTTGTGATAGGCTTGTGATCTACTTGAGAATCAAAGTGCTTACTAACTATGTTTTAAGTGCTGTTCTTTTCTGTCCTTTAAAAACTTTATAGAGAGATGCTTGTATTTGTTCCTACTGATTATTACACTCCGTAGAGAACAAATGGCTTGTAAGTTTTCAGATGTATAATTTTGGTACTTAGTTCCATAATGATCACCGAATAGTTATCTTGATGAGATACATTTGGTATAAAGTACAATTCTCTGGAGAGATGATAAAATCACTGTGAAGGCTTCGGAATATAGAGAGGAGTAAAATGTCATTTTAGTTTGGATAAATACCTTGTTCAAATAGATAAGCTGAGGAAACTCCCTAGAGAGCCTTTGGATAGTCTTTTAAGGTTGACTGAAATAACGTCTGCATCTCTGTAGTGAATGTGAAATTTAAACCTTCACTAAATGGATTCAGGGTCATTACTAAATCATTGACTTTTTTCTAGAAATTGAGAACATGTTTATGATTGTGAAACTTTTACCATCTAGTTTTTGATGACAATGTTCTGTAAAAAATGATTTTCTTTACTAACTTTGAGTTACATAGAATAAGTTGCATAATAAGTGGTCTTTAGTGTTAAACCAGCATTGTTATTAGCTTTAGACTGTTATTACTCCCCAGGTTAACACCTATTTGTCTTTGTTACTTGGATTGCTTCTCTGTTTACAGTTTTACAATGAGTTGACTGAAATCCTACTCCGGTTCCAGAACAAATGCAGTGATATAGTATTTGCACGCAAAACAGAAAGAGATGAACTCTTAAAGTAAGTTTGTTTGATGTATCAAGTTCTAATTAAAAGTATTTTCTTAAAAAACAAAAGTCATGTTGAGCCAGGTGCTGGTAGATTATGCCTATAATCCTAGTTCCTCAGGAAGCTGAGATCTGAGCATCGCTTTTGAAATCCAGCCTGGGCAGGAAAGTCTTGTCAGACTCTTCAGTAAACTACCAAGAAGCTTAGGTACAGTGCACAGGACCAGCACATAAAAAAAGTCAGGTAGAAAACTTTGGGGATAAACTTGTAGTATGAGAGAACAATTTCTTTTCTGAGTATTTCTCTTCTGAGAATTGCTACAAAGTAACAAGCAAAGATCTGCACAGTTTGGGAATGGAAGGATGAAAAGGAGCAAAAAGTTAGGTAGAAGAAAGGGAGATCATGGTAGTGATGATAAAATGCCTGAGAGTAGATCTCAGGAAGCACAGTGAATAGACTCAGTGGCAAATAGATTCCTTGCATAAAATGAGACATACAACACTTGGGGAAGACAGGATGAATAGCCCAGAAAGTATCAGCAAAAAAAGTCCCTTTCTGAAGGAGCCATTACTTGCTTACTTATCAGTAGAAAGTTGACCCAGTAGTGATGAAAGATACTGTACCTTTGAAGATAGAAAAATGAACTTCTAAAAAATCTTAATAAAGAATACTCACCAGAGTATGAAAATTCTGAATGAACATTTCACAGTGAATTAAAACAACTATTACTCCCTGCATGATAAGCAGACATAAGATATAACAAAATAGGAAAATGATATTTAAGCCTAATTCATAGGCCACAGGCTAATTTACCTTGCTTATAAAGAACTCCTCGAACTTAGTAATGAAAAAAAAAAAGAAAAGTAAAAAAAGAAAGGACCGTAACTTTTGCAGAGCAGGGACTAGAAGTGACTCTTACACATGTGAAATAGCTGCTTCAGTATAAACAGAAAATTAAAATTAGTCTGAAGTAGCACTTTTCAGACTGGTGCCAGTCTGACAGTTGGCTAATATGTTGCATTGGCACGTTGTGGAAGTAGACATGATATATTGGTGTGAAAGTACAGAAAGGTGCAGTCTGTGTGAAGCAAAATTCCTTGAGTGTATCTAGTCTATTTTGGGGAATTTATTAGCATTTACTAGAAATGGCATATGAGCTTATTTATTTCTTCATTGCTTATGGGCATGGAAGAATTGTGTCCAGAGTTGGTGAAATAAAGTTGTATCTGTGCTGTGAAATTACTCTTTCCTCATGGTGACTACCTTTCTAACTGTGTGGAGCAGTTACTTCATGTTTTTGCACAGTATAGAAATGGAGTCATAAACTCTGGTTACTAGCTTTTTTTGAACACTGTACTTGAGAGACTCCTCCATTTAGTTGTGAATATTTATAGATCTTTATTCTCATTTCAGTGCAAATGAGATGCTTTCATTAGTTTGTAGTTTTGGGTTATTACACAGATTATCCTGGCACCAATGTTGTAAAATACAGTTGTCCTATCTAGATGTAGTGGTTACCTGTAATCCCAGAACTTGGGAGGCAAAGGCAGCAGAATTTTGAGTTTAATGAACTCAAATTGAGACCTTGTCTCATAAAGCAATTCACAAAAACAAAAAACACCACAAAACCAAAAAAAAAAAAACCAACAAAACCCCCAACAGATTAGTTTGCCAGTCTGCTGCTAGAAGTAAAAGAATAAATGAATTAGCTGTGTGGGACTGGTGGAATAAGGCTATAATTCCATGGTGAAATATTAAACAGTGATGTAAGCTACTGAAAATGTAGCTATAGAAAAAAAGAAATACTTAAAAGTAATATCAGTAGTGTATCTCATTTAAGTACATCTAGAATATTATCATTTGAACATGATACTTTTTTTACACCAGATCTTAGAATTCCAATATGTATCTTAAACTTAGAGTATACCCTTAATTCAGACTAGCTCCATTGTGGGTATTTTACAGCTATAGCTGCCCAGTGGTTCCTGCCTTAGATGTTGCCTATTTTTGGTGAGCAGGTATGCCCAGTGCTGCTGGGTACACATATAGGAAATAGTGCCCAGCTGCTATGTGGTATTGCCAGTCAGATTGCTCCAGTGTGGTTGTACTCATTTATATTACTAGCAGCACATTGTGAGAAGTCTTGTGGCTCCTCAGTTTCACCATTAATTATTCTGCTTGGCACATTGTGGTTATAATGTTCATTTTCTTGATGAGTGAGATGTAAACCTGTTAGCTAGAAGGTTTGAATTTTAATTCCTCATTTTAACTTCATTGAAATCTTTTCATGAAAAACTATCCTGACCTTTACTTTTCACAAATGATTTAGACTAATGTCATGGCATGGTTATTGGGTATAGGAATACTGGTGGCATTTTATTTTTGCTTTTTTACACTATTTGTCTTACAATTTAATAGCTTTGATTGATATCATTAGTAAATGAATAATTAGTGGGAGAGGTTTTTTTTTTTTTTGGGTCCAGTCATGGGGCCTGAACTCTGGGCCTGGGCGCTGTCCCTCAGCTCTTCAGCTCAAGGCTAGCTATTGCCCTACCACTTGAGCCACAGTGCCACTTCCAGCTTTTTTTCTTTTTGCTTATGTGGTGCTGAGGAATCGAACCCAGGGCCTCATGCATGCAAGGTAAGTGCTCTACCATGAGCCACCTTCCCAGCCCCAGGTTTTTATATCTCTCTCTCTCTCTCTCTCTCTATATATATATAAAATGATATTTCAAAATTGGACCTTTTAGAATTTTAATATTGGGTACAACTTTTCAGTTTACCTTGTAAGCAGTTATTTACTTAAATTAAGTAGTTTTGTTTTTTGATAATGGTGTGTTAAGTTTTTGTATTTGGAGTGACTATCCTTTAGCTAGGGTCCTTCTTGAGAGTTCAAGTGTAGGTGGTAGGTGTGAGGAGTTGCTGAGATTGCTGGGATTGTTACATCAGGGCAGATGTTCTGTATAGGCATTCAGAGACACGTGCTTGCTTTGTTCAATAACGTAGTGAGAACTTGAGCATAGTATTTTAGATGTAACAGGGCCTTATGAGATTTTGGGGATAATTACAGTTAAAATTTCTCCTAATGTTTAGTACTGTTTGAATGGCCTTTACAACATTATCTTTTGTAAGTTACCTTAGCAACAAATTGAGTTTTCTTTTGACATAATATATCTCAGTAATATATTTCTTAGAATAGCAGTTTCATCATATAGTTAACTTTCTCTCCTTCCTTCCTTCCTTCCTTCCTTCCTTCCTTCCTTCCTTCCTTCCTTCCATTGAGCCCAGGCCTTGTACATGCCAAGCACATATTCTACTACTTGAGCAGTGCTCTAACAGTTGTTTTTTGGGAGGTGGGTTGGGTAGGTAGTAATTCATTTACTTGGTTTATTGAGACAGAGTCTCACTGTAGCACAAGCTGTCCTCTAACTTGAAATCCCTCCTGCCTTAACCTCCTGAGTGCTAGGATTACATACCTGGCCATATTGTTTTGTATAAATGTTGATGTCATACAGTGATTCATGTATTAGCTAGATGATCAAATGGTTGTGGTTTCTGTTAAATTTGTGTGTGTGCACGCGTGCACGTGTGCTGGTATTGGGCTTGAACTCAGGGACTGAGTGTTATACCCAGCTGTTTTGCTTTAAAACGTGAGTCCCGGTTCCACCTCTGGCTTTTTGGTGGCTCATGGGAGGTAAGAGTTTCATGGACTTTCCTGACTGGGCTGGCTTCAGATTGTGATCCTCAGATCCTCAGCTTCCTGAGTAGCTAAGATTATAGGCATGAGCCACTGGTGCCTTGTGTTTTCTGTTACTTTTTGAGTAGTTTTTTTTTTGTCTTTTGTCTTTTTTATCTTTTGTCTGTAAATAATGAGCTGTCTTTTAGGGATGCTTGTCTAGTTTAACGTGTTCTTAAGTAGTAGTTATGATCTCTAAAAATATTTATCTTTAGTTGTAATCTTCAGAAATAAAATAGAACCTTATTTTGTTAAGCTGTACAAAGATGATTTATGTTTTAGTCATGAGTAGGAATGTTGTAAAAAAAATAGAAGTGCTATATTTCTAAAATATCATTATTTAGAGGCCATTATCTGTTTTACATGTGAAAAAAAAATCAGACTTGGTATTTATGTACTTTTTCTCCCCCACATTCTGTGTATTTATAATGTCTTTAAAAAGGGATTTGCAGCAAAGCATTGCCAGAGAACCTAGTGCTCCTTCAATTCCTACTCCTGCATATCAGTCCTCTCCAGCAGGGGGACATGCAACAGTTCCTCCAACACCAGCTCCAAGAAGCATGCCGGTTAGTACTGCCAGTATATTTGCAAGATGGAAGTGAACATTAGTTGCCTGCTCTAAAGGAAGAACAGTTTTCCTTTGGAGGTTCTAGTGGTCACCACCTGGGTCAGGTGGATGCATTTCAGTATGTAGAACACTGTATCATGAACTCTTGTGAAAAACTAAGCTGAGTTCAACCAAACCTTTAGAATGACTTTGTTTATAGCAAGTAAAGTGATTAAGTTAAACTGGTGTTAGCAAACAGTTGGCTATTCTAGAACATGAGACATTATATGTGACATAAGAGTTGATCTTTTCTAATATACATAAGGTGTTCTAGGTTAAAAGAATTAAAAGATTTATTCTAATTAAGCACAATGCAAAGATTGTGATTTGTGTTTAGCTCATAAAAACAGCCACAAGAGCTTTATCTGTGATAATGTTGGATCTGGAGTGGATATTTAGTGATACTGAGAATAATTGCTAAATGATTTTATAGAACAATTTTCTTACTGTGACTTGAATGCTGAAATCTGGTGTCAGGTTTGTAACTTTCAAGTGGATCTGCAAATGTATAGATAAATACGGAGATAGCTACATGAAAGAAGTATTATAGTGTTAATAGTTACAGAATTCCATATAGATGTATGATTGCTTTATTATAATTTTCTTTTAAGTTTTCAGATGTTTGGAGTTTTTTTTTTTTAAATAAAGAAGCTTAGGGACTAGGTGGAGAAAAAAAAATATATATATATATACCATATACCTTAATGCTACTTTCCATCTCAGTTGTCCAACCATTGGTGGAAGTAGCAAATTATAGATCTTAGGCATCGGGAAGAGGGTGGCTATCACAAATTGAAGAATTATTTTTCTACTCTGACACATTTTTAGAGTAATAAGCCAATATTTAAGAATGGCGATTGGAAGTATATTTGATTGGATGTTAGTTTCTCATATGCCATAATTTGTTTTAATAGTTTGCGAGACACATGAAAGTTTTGTAGTCAGTGCCTATTTTTTTCTTTATAGCCTGCTAAGCCTCAGCCCCCAGCCCGGCCTCCACCTCCTGTGCTTCCAGCAAATCGAGCACCTCCTGCTTCTGCTCCGCCTCCAGTGGGGGTGGGGACTGCTGCACCAGCTCCATCACAGACTTCTGGCTCAGCACCTCCTCCTCAGGCCCAGGGACCACCCTATCCTACCTATCCAGGATATCCCGGGTAAGAGGACCACGTAGCGCATTCCAGGATATCGGCTATGGTGTCTAGATATTGTTTTCTAAAGACAAGATTGTTAACCCTTCTCTAAAAAGGCCTTATGGATGAATAAGCTACAAGGTCAGCTTACCTGGAAATTAAAATAATATTGAAATCACTTGAATAGTTAAATAGCCATCTTCTAGGCTCTTAAAATGTACCCTTTCAGTTTTTTGCATTGGTATTAAACATATTTCTCTCATGTAGAATTCAGTATTTGTTCCTTTGTCCCCTTTTATTGAGGTAATAAGTAGTTAGAGGCAAGATTGGTAAAACCTTGTTTACATACTTGTACTGTGAAATCTTGGAATTTAACAAACCATTGAGTAATTGATCTCATTAGGGAATTACTTAAAGTTTAGTTTTTTTGTGTGCCAATTTCTTTTTTTTTTCTTTTCTTTCTTGTGTGTGTGTGTGTATGTGTGTATGTGTATGTATGTTTGGCACTGATTGAATCCAGGGCCTTTAAAAAAAAAGACAAATCCAGGACCACATTTTTAGATGAATCCTTTACCCTTGACTTACATCCCCAGCCAGGGTAATTTGTTTTTCCCCCCAGGGTAATTTTTTAACTTTTTTTTTTGTTCAGTAATGGGGTTTGAACTCTGGGCCTGTCGTTGTCCCTGAGCTATTCAGCTTGAGGCTAATGCTCTACCACTTGAGCCACAGTGCCGCTTCCTGTTTTCTGGTGGTTAATTGGAGATAAGAGTCTCATGGACTTTACTGCCTGGGCTGGCTTTGAACCTCGATCCTCAGATCTCAGCCTCCTGAGTAGCTAAGATTACAGGTGTGAGTCACCAGCGTCTGGCTATTGTTTACTTTTTATTGTGCCAGACTTGGGCTTGAACTTGGCCTGGGTGCTTTCCCTGAGCTTTTTTGCTCAAGGCTAGTGCTCTACCATTTGAACCACAACTTCACTTCTGACTTTTTGGAAGATAAGTGGAGATAAGTGTCTTACGGACTTTCCTGCCTGGGCTAGCTCTGAAGTGCAGGCCTCAGATCTCAGTCTCCTGAGTAGCTAGGATTACAGGCATGAGCCATGAATGCCTCACACATACTTGGGGTGACATTATTAATGTACTCATTGCCTGACTTATGAAATGGTAGCCCCTTTGTACAGCATCCTAATAACAATAAAATTATTTATTTATATAAAAAACTTTACTTCCTTTGTTAATATATGCTCTAAGAGGCTGGGAATGTGGCCTAGTGGTAGAGTTCTTGCCTAGCGTGCATGAAACCCTGGGTTCGATTTCTCAGTACCACATAAACAGAAAAAGCTGGAAGTGGTGCTGTGGCTCAAATGGTAGAGTGCTAGCCTTGAGCAAGAGAAGCTGGGACAGTGCTCAGGCTCTGAGTTCAAGCCCCAGGACTGACCAAAAAAAAAAAAAAAGCTCTAAATTTTACTTAATATGTACACTTGCAAAGTCATGATTTGTAGGTGTACATCTGTATGCATTATAGTGAATATTGACTCATACAGAGCAGGAACTATTGAGAGTATTAGTTTTGTCATGTTTGATATTCTTTCATTTTAATTAATGAGAGAAAAGGAATGGTTTTTCTCTGAGAAGTACCTAGAAAATAGTTTCCTTTTCTCTGTATTGTTATCTAGATTGTAAATAGAGAAAAATGGCTTTTAAAAGTAATCAGAGTAGTTATTATATATTTCAAGTATTTGATTTACTAACCCAGTGTTTTTGGCTTCTTCTCCCCACCAGGTATTGCCAAATGCCCATGCCCATGGGCTATAATGTCTACACATACGGGTTTAACATGCCATATCCACCAGTGTACCACCAGAGCCCTGGACAGGCTCCATACCCAGGACCCCAGCAGCCTTCATACTCCTTCCCTCAGCCCCCACAGCAGTCCTACTATCCTCAGCAGTAATGTTTCTGCTCAGAAGCTCAACTGGTTCAGTTCAGAGGGAAAGAAATATCAATCCTGCAATAAAGTGTACTAAACTCTACGCTCTGGTTAATATAATGTACTTTACTGTACTGAATACAATGTATTATTTCTGTCTGCGGCTAAAAGCTGTGCCCCAGTTTCACATTTGATTGCACATGTGAGATTTTGCTACTGTTGCAGTATAAATACTAGGTATAATAAGATTTGAAATAAATTACATTATAGTTGATAAAAGTTGAAGATGAGAAATTAAAGCTGCCAGTGAGCCTTCTGAATGAAGCTAGCATACTTTTTACATATGATGCAGTTGGGACATCAGATACTTATGAAGATGGTCTCAGTACTGATATTCAAGGAAACTAAATTTTCTTTTCTCTTTTGGTTTCTTGATTTGATTTAATTTCATTTTGATATTTTGCATAATCAAGACATTGTAAATCTTATAATTTAAAAATAAATTACTTAAGAACAGTTGTCATTGTTATGTTTGTCATTGATTCTCATTACTGTCTAATTTCTTTCTGGTATTAGTCTCTCATTTTGTATGTTCACAAGTTAAACATACTGTGTTTAAATGCACAGGCAGTATAAGTTAACAGGTAGAAGGGCATTTTATAAAAAAACCAAAAGGATAGTATCTTAATTTATTTTTTGTATGTTCATTAATTAATTTTGACAATTGTTTTAAGAAGTTTTATATTGTAGAAGAAACACAGTTGTTACCAAAGATTCTTCGAATGAATATAATTCATCTTTAATGTTTTATTGCTAACTTCCCCAAGAAATTGATACAAATTCTGGTAATCATCCAGAATTTTTCTTCAAAATCTGAATAAAATAAATTGATGTCATTGGCACTGTCTATGTACAGTTGTTGGGAGAAAGTTTCCTGTACTCTTCTTCTATTTTATTGGCTTAATCCAATAACAATGTTGTTGTTGACAAAGGTCTGAGCCCTTCTTTTTTTTTGGCTCCTCAATTTTTGGGCTATTTTGAGCACGCAGAATAATTGTTGAGAACATGTACTAATTGCAGAACAGGCTTTGTACTTGGTCGCTGCTGTGAGGATATTGAGTTACAGGAAAAACAAGACCCACCATGGAATGAGAAGGGAGAAAGGCACAAGCTGTCCAGGGTCACAGTGGGTCTGTTCTGTGTGGGGTTCCCGAGAACAGATTTCCAATGCATCCATTTGTGTTTATTTTCTGAGTTTAATGATGACTTTCTGCATTGTTTCATTTAAATGATACTGTCTCTTAGTCCACTGTTGTTTTCATTGACAATTTAGATTTATATTTTAAATGTTAGAGTAAAGATCTGATTGTAAAAGGGAGTAAATTGGTTGAAAAACATGTATATTTTCAAGAATCTTTGTTGTATGTGGGAAACACAGACATGTTTGATTCAATATTAATGATGAATATTGAAATTGGTTTAAGGTCCAGTGGTTAAACCTTGGCAAATTACGTATTATTGCTAAGTTTTAACACTCTGGATTCATCAAAGTGTGAGATGGGTTTATTTGACTTTTCTGTAAATGGTAGTTGAGGTACCTTGTACTGGCATAAAACACTCAAGAGTTAGGGATATCCCAGATTGCTAGTTTATATTTCCTAATGCAAGAATAAAAAAAATTGGCCTGAATATTCTCTTGGGTAAAGAGGGCACTGAAAGAAAGAAGTGCATCAGAGGGCCAAAAGATCATTGGAAAGCCAGTTAGTCCATTCCCAGGCAAAGCTGGCCTGGTCCCAGACCCCACAGGAGAATGAGTGAGAGAGCCCTGGAGGCATCCTCTCCAGCATGCCTCCCTGTCAGCTGATAGCGAAGCCTTGGTGTGATGTGGCAGCCCAGACCCATCCTCTCGGCAGTTCATACATCCTTACAGTATTTAACTTTCTTTAGGTCACCTGTTTTCTGTTCTATTGACTATCTTATGGGTAATTGGTGCTAGGTTTATCCTCATAGATCTTTCTCATTTTGGAAAGAGACATAGAAAAAACTTCTCTTATTTAGCAAACAAAGAAGCTTCCATTTTTTTTACCTAATGTTTTAGTCCTTTGCTTAGCTTCCTGTATTCTACAGAATACCCATAAAGTTAATGATTAGTGCTGTTCATTTGGAGGTAGGAGCGTTTCACTGTATGGCTCTTGTATGTTGTTCCCATGTTTATAAATAGGCTTTTGTTGTTGCTCTTCATAAGGGAACCATCCTCAGGCCATTTATGTGAGGTTTTAGAATGCTGTTATAAAATGGATTGTACTTTAAAAAAATGGAGCTATGCATAGTGGAATTAGAATTTGGGGAAAACTGCCTAATTTCTAGTATTCCTGGTTGGAGACAAATGTCCTGATTTCTGTCTTGTGCAAAGTTTTGGTCTACAGAAAGCTATTTGCGTGCTGCTCGGACTTTATTCCCAATTGCGAAAAAGAGTCACATTTCACTACAAAGCAATCAGTCTATATATGATCCTGTATCCAGATTCCAGCCTCTTTGAAATTTATATACCCTCCTAAATGTAAGAGTTACAGAAAAAAATGCTTTTCACAGTCTTGTATCCTAAACACTGTACCAATCAGCAGCTTTTCTTGTCAAAAAGATGAAAAAAAGTTTTCCATTAGAGCTTTACAGTTTGCAAAAGTGCTTTGTATACCTTTCTAATTTCCTAAGTAGGATAAAATATAATTTGTTAAGTAGGTTTCAGTTTTCTAATGGTTTCCTTTTCTAATTTTTATTAGTATATCTTGATGAGTCTTGCTATAACCCAGTGACATCTCATTTTTGAAAGGCCTGCAGGTGTTAGTTTGATTCACAGGATAGGCAAGATACAAAGCAGGACAGTCTGCTGTAGTGTTATAATTGCTGGTTTAAATATAGACTTTAGAGGTAAATGGTTGATTATAAGATTTACATGGAAGAGCAAAGAAGGAAAAATTATATTTTTAAAGAAAGAGAATATTCAGGCTTTATTTCTGGTATGAAGTTTATATTTTTTAAAGAATCCTATATTATCACACCAGAGATTTTAGATTCTTTTCTGCTTACAAACATTGCTGGTAGTTGGATTATATTTTTATTGTATTCATTTCTCTTAGGGGAAAAATTGTAAAGAAACAAAAAGATTCCCAATGAATGTATCCTAGAAATAAAAGTTGAAAGATTCTTACTTCTTGGAGTATGAATTCTTTTTTAAAGTGTTTTAACTGTAAGCTTGAGAGTTTCAGTAATTTCTTGACAAAAGGTGGGTTGGGAAAGAATCCATTCTGACTAAATGCATGACTGAGCATTTATTTATGGATGGACCATATTTTCATTAGTTAGGGTCTACCTCAGATTTTGCAATATTTGTTACTATGATTTGGGGTGGGTACTGGGGTTTTATCTCAATGTTGTGCTTACTAGGAAAGTGCCTTAATACTTGGAGCCACATTTCCATCTTGAGATACTTTTTTTGATACTTGAGATATATTTTTTTTTTGCCAGTCCTGGGGCTTGAACTCAGGGCCTGGGTTCTGTCCCTGAGCCTCTCTGTGCTCAAGGCTAGCACTCTACCACTTGAGCCATAGTACCATTTCTGGCCTTTGCTGCTTATGTGGTACTGAGGAATTGAACCCAGGGCTTCATGCATGCTTAGGCAAGCACTCCACCTAAGCCACATTCCTAGCCCCCAAGATACATATTTTCAAGAGCCAATTTTTTTCATGGCTAAATTTCGATGGGCAAGATGTTGAGTATATCCTAGCATAAAACAATAGGGCAGAATTTAATTATTTTGGGCTGGAGATCCCAGATCTGCCCTTCCTGCTCAATGCTGCCTCTCCCTGCAAAGGGTCCTGTACTTTGTCAGTTACATGGTTCTTTCTTTTTTCATGAACTTTCTGCCTGTGCTGGACCTGAGCCTTATTAGCCCAATCTCTGCCTCCAGATTAAATTTACAGGCATAAGCCACCATACCTTGCCCTGTGTGGCCTTTTGGTTGATAGTGCATTTCTTTTCGTCACTAATTTCATTGTGTGAATTTCTTGTACAGTTAGGTTATCCATCTTTTGAAGGGCACACATATACATGTTTGGCAGTTCTGAACTTTGAACTCACCTGCCATGTCCCTCTTTTAGCTTCAGTTATATTTTTCAGGGTCTTTGAGTTTTTGCCTAGGGCCAACCTTAACCATGATCCTTCTTACCTGTGCTTCCTGAGTAGCTAAGATCACAGGTGTGGAAGTTAGCAACAAATAAGCATGAAGTGGCGTATTAGTTGACATGAGTTCTGGTAACTTGTGAGGACTGAAGCATCACCTTGAACTGTGATCTTCTGAATTGATGAATAAGCACTTCAGTGCAGGGTTGTGTGGATACAAGTTTTCATCTTACTTGAGTGAAAATCCAGGAGTGTACAGGAATACATGACAAGACTGTATTTTTCTGTGTAAGAAACTGCCAAACAATCACCAGTGTTGACATCACTTTGATCTCCAACTGAGATGAATAAGATGTCCTGTTTTTGCACATTTTGCCAGCATTTTGGTATCATCAGACCTAAAAAAAAAGTCACTATGTGTATACTGTAGTATTATTGCTGCTTGAACTTGGAATAATTTAAAACCATTAAACAGGTTGAGCGTCTTTCTGTATCCCATCTCACATTTTCTTTGATGAGGATCAGGAATATTATCCATTTTTAAGTTGGGATTATTTTCTTGTATTTTAAAGGTTCTTTTTGTATTTTGGATGAAGTTCCTTAATCAGATGTATTTTGCCAATATTTTTCTCATTGCCTCTTTTTTATTCTCTTTTGTATTTTTTTCAGATGTGCGTATATTTTCCCTCTTTTTTATTTTGTAATCTTTAAATGGTTGTGCAAGGGGGTCACATTGTAATATCCATTTATGTGTACAACGCATCTTTAATCAGAGTCATGCCTTCTCTCAATCTTACCCCCTCTTCCCCTCTTCCTTCCCCCACCCATTTTCTTACGTTTTCCATTGGCTTGAAGGGGCTGAAGTTGGGTGGATCCCTTCCTTTCATTGGCAGGCTCTGATAAACTAGGTTCCTTTGATGGCAGACACAGCAGAATGTTCTGATGGAACTGCAGATTTTATAACTCAGGATGGTTCACACACAATTTCCAGTCCTTTGTCTTGTGACCATTTGCTTTCCTTCCAAATCCTGGCTCTAGTGGCTTTTGCTCCTAGTAAGCAAAAGCTGTATATTCAAGTGTTTTTCCAGTTTGGGGTATGTGTGTGGGTACTTGTTGCCTGTGACCTCAGTCCTATGATAGGTTTAAAATAAGTTATTTATTCTCCGTGAGACATGGAATGACAACTTCTAAATTCTCCACATCTCACATTGGAGAGCCCAAAAGTACAGATGAACTTTAATACAAATGTACATTTTTAAACAAAAATTAAGCTCAGAAAATGTCTCATCTTTTCCCCTTGTGCTCTTGATTCTGGAGTCTTGTTTTGCACATCAGGTCTTTGTAGGTGTTCTAACATACGTGTTCAATTATGTTAGCTATTTGTGTGTGTACATTGTGTGTGTGAGAGAGAAAGTGTGTGTGTGTGTGTGTGTGTGTGTGTGTGTGTGTGTGCTGGAGCTTGAACTGGGCCTAGTCACTATCTCTTAGCTTTTTCACTCACTTTTTCACTTTTTTACTCTACCACTTGAGCCACAGCTCCACTTCCAGCTTTTTATTGCTTAATTGAAGATAAGAGCCTCTCAGACATTTCTATCTGGGCTGGCTTTGAACCTCTGTCCTCAGACCTCAGCTTCCTGAGATTAGCTAAAATTATAGGCATGAGCCACCAACTCATGGCCCTTCCACCCTTTTGTATTTCCTTCACAAAATTATATATTGAAAGACTCCCTCTTATTCAAGGTACTAAGAAGATAACAATGATCTGAAATTTTATTTTGGGAGACGGTGAGATTGAGCTATAGGGTTGGAGGTTAATATTATGTGGTCTTTTTTTTTTTTTTTGGTCTGCTTTCCTCTCTTGCCAGATAAATACACTAGAGTGTGTTTCTGGGGTTATTTTACCGGGAGGGACATGGGTTGGGAGCAGGAGCTGGAGTCAATGTCCAGGAGGTAAAATCTCAGAGGTGGTAAAATCTTAGAGATGGCTGTTGGGTACAGCTATGACAGAGCTGTCATGCTTCAAATGAGGTAAGGCCCAAGGTGGCATCTGGCATTCATGTGGAGAGCCAGAGATTACTGAGACAATCTTCCTCATCCAGCAGGATGGCTTTTGACTGAAGCCAATGACTTCAATGAATGATGATGTTTCTTGTATCCTTGGCTTGGTGGGCTTCAGCTGATTGTCACCTACAATGTTTCTGCCACTTCTGGGATGGAAGACATATTTGCCTTGTGAATATGTACTCAGGCTGCTGTTGGCTTCCCTCATTTTGCATTTCAGAGAGTTCTGAATGGTTTTACCCACTAGTCAAGCTATGTAAGGGGTCTTATTTATTGCTTGATACTTGGGAGATTCCTGGTTGTCATTTCCATCACCAAGTGTGCTATCATTTGGAGAGAGATGCCTGAATTAGGATGTTTGAGCACGTCAGTGATGGGAGCTTGGGATGTAGCTCAGTAGTCCAGCAGTGCATGCCTAAGACCCTGTAGAGCACATCTCTAGCACCATAAAAAACAGTATTCCTACAATGCCTGCAACCTTGTCACATAAGGCTTAGCAATGGACTACCCAATCCTGAGGAAGACTGTTAGCTTGTTTTCTATTACTATACCATAGGTGGAGCAATTTATTAAGAACAGAGGTTTATTTAGTTTAGGCTGTGAACTCCAAGACATACTGCATGGAGGAGACAAGGCAGGCATGCTAGCTCAGGTCTCTCTTCCTCATACAGAGCCCACAGCGGGACCCTGCTCATGTGACCTCATTTAATTAGTGTCCCCAGACCCCCATTTCCAAGTGTCATGAACAGGAATTGGGAAACGGAAATTCTAGCACAAGATCTTTCAAGAGGCACATTCAAATCACACAACCCGTTTTGCCATACTGGAAGCAAGTTTTTTTGGGGGGAGGACCTGAAGTTCCTCCCTTGACCCTGGAGAAGTGCATGTGGGTCTGTTGGTGGCCCTTTCCTAGTTGGTGGCTGAGAAAACTGTGGCACTGAATGACATCCCAAGGGTGTGGCCCTGGGAGTTCCGGAGAAGGCTTGTAGCAGGCTGTGAGAGGAATCTGCACCCACTCTTCCTGAGTCCAGATTTGGACTTCTAGAGCAAGTGTAGACAACCTGAGTGGCTGGCTCCACCCGCTTCCATCCTCTCCTACCCGCTGCATCACAAAGACTAGACAGTAGGGGCACGATGGAGGAGAAGGGTTGATCTTGGCAGATCCTGGTCTTGCTTGCTCAGGCCAAGGAAGATGGACATGTCTCAGCGTAAATCTCCTGAATCCCCGTGTGTGACATCTTCAGCTGTCCTTGGTGGGGTAGCCTGCGTGGGAGGGGCAGCTGGATGAGCCAGGTATGTCCCACTCTGAAGGAGTGGTCCTGAGGAGGCCACTGGGAGTGAGCTGGGGTGAAGGCCAGGACTCACTGCAGGTTTTTAGCTCTGAGAGTTTGCAATTGGTGGTGATGGCTGTGGATTGGGGGTAGGGCAGGGCTAAGAAAGATCCAGGTTGGGCTGCCACAGCTTCTTCTAGAGTGGGCCCCACTCCTGCCCATGCGCACATCTGTGTGACGTAGGTCAGGTGACTCAGGTGCTGCTTGGGCAAAAGTTTCAAAGGACAGCACCCAGACATTGCTGGGGTGAGAGGGGTAACAAGTGTTTAAAAGCTGCTTTTGCTGGAGCACTAACTCTTTAGCGCTCCCCCCCCCCCCCCCCACCATTTTCCTAAGGCAGGAGAAATCTCTACAACCCAGTCTCCATGGCCTGGCTCTGAGCTATTCTCCCCTGCAGCCACCTTATGATCCACAAAGGACTGAACTAATAACACATTTACAGTAAGAAATGGAGGAAACTGCTTTCTCCTCCTCACTTCTCCACGTCAAAGAAAGAGTTTCCAAAGGACAGACTACCCATCACTGCTGCCCAGAACTTCTTCCTCCCTGGAACTCATTTGAGACTGTGGCTGTTTAGGTATGGCTTCTCTGTGCTGGTACTTGGGCTTGAACTCTGGGCCTCACATTTCTGCTTAGG